TCCCCCTTCCTGTCCCTCTGTCCCAACTGTCCCACCCCCGTCCTTCTGTCCCCATTGTCCCCTCTCCTGTCCCCATTTCAGCGGCACAAACGCCACCGGGTCCTCATCCCCGGCTGTCCCCGGGCTGTCCCCGGGCTGTCCCCGCGTGTCCCCAGTGTCACCGTACCGGGCCCGGACACGCCGTGCACGGTCCCCACGAGGCTCTCGCTCTCCTCCAGCCGTGTCCCCCGTGTCCCCTCCATGCTGTCCCCTCCCCGCCGCGCCGCCACCGCCGTTAAATGGCCCCGGCCGCCGGTGACAACCGGACAGGGCCACCGCGGGTGTGGCAGCACACGGCGGGGTGACACGGCGGTGGCAGGGCCACCGCGGGTGTGGCACTGTGTGCAGTCAACAGCCGCGTCCCCCTGCTGCGGGTGACACCGGGTGACACCGGCACGGCCCGGCTCGGGGTGACGGGGACACGGCGTGGGTGTCCTTGTCACCTCCCTGCGGTGTCCTTGTCACTCCCCCAGACTTGTCACCCCATTCCCTTTGTCACCCCCACGTCACCACCTCCTTCTCTTCATCACCTCCCTGCTGTGTCCTTGTCACCTCCTTCTCTTTGTCACCCCCAAGTCCTTGTCACCCCCTTCTCTTTGTCACCCCCCCAGACTTGTCACCCCCTTCTCTTTGTCACCCCCATGTCCTTGTCACCCCATTCCCTTTGTCACCCTTTGTCACACCCAAGTCCTTGTCACCTCCTTCCCTTTGTCACCTCCAAATTCTTGTCACCCCCAAGTCCTTGTCACCCTTCCCTTTGTCACCCCCAAGTCCTTGTCACCCCCTTCTCTTTGTCACCCCCAAATCCTTGTCACCCCCAAATCTTGTCACCCCCATGTCCTTGTCACCCCTTTCCTTTTGTCACCCCCATGTCCTTGTCACCCCCGTGGCATTGTCACCCCCCCTGCTGTCTCCTTGTCACCCCCTTCCCTCTGTCACCTCACGGTGTCACCAACACCATTTGGGGTCCCCCCGCCCCTCCCCTAATTTTGGGGTCCCACTCCCCTATTTAGGGCCATCCCCTGGAATCCACCCCCACCCCTTTTTTGGGGTCCCCTCCCCATCAGTTTAGGGTCCCCCCTTGCACCCCAAAACCTCCATTTTGGGGATCTCCCCCCAAACCCCAACACGCCTTTTTTTCGGGGGGTCCCACCCTCCATTTTGGGGTCAAATCCCCATTTTTGAGGTCTCCTCTCCCGCTTTTTTTGGGGGTCCCATTTTTCCCCCATTTTGGGGTTGCATCCCCATTTTTGGGGTCTCCTCTCCCCCTTTCTTGGGGTCCCACACCCCATTTTTAGGGTTCCCTTTTTCCCCCATTTTGAGTCCCACCCTCTATGTTTGGGTTCCCCTTTTTTCCCCATTTTTGGGGTCCCCTCTCCCCATTTTAGGGTCCCACACCCCATTTTTGGGCTCCTCTTTTTCCCCCATTTTGGGGTCCCACACCCCAATTTTGGGGTCCTCTTTTTCCCCCATTTTAGGGTCCCACACCCCATTTTTGGGCTCCTGTTTTTCCCCCATTTTAGGGTCCCATACCCCAATTTTGGGGCCCTGTTTCTCCCCCATTTTAGGGTCCCACACCCCATTTTTGGGGTCCTCTCTTTCCCCCATTTTGAGGTCCCATACCCCATTTTTGGGGTCCCACCTGAAACCCCCCCACATTTGATGTTCTCCCCCTCCCCCAAACCCTTTTCCCCCCTTTTCCCATAAAAACCAACCCGGGGATTTTCCCAAACTCCCGTTTATTACCCAAACCCCCCCGAAACGACCCCAAATCCCACTGGGAATTTTTTTTGGGGGGGGTCAGGACACCAAGACCCCCCCGGGGCCCCCCTTGCCCCCCTCGGGGCCGTCCCGGGGCGCGGATTTGGGGTCGTCCTCGCCCACCAGGCGGATGTTGTGGCGTTCCCGAAATTCCGACAGCTCCCGGCCCTTGGCCTGCAGCTGCTGCGCCAGAGCCTCGATCAGCTTGGAGATCTGGGGGGAAAAACAGGGAAAATGGGCAAAATGGGGGAAAAGAGAGACTTGGTTAGATTGGAGATCTGGGGGGAAAAACGGGGAAAATGGGCAAAATGGGGGAAAAGAGAGAGACTTGGTTAGATTGGAGATCTGGGGGGAAAAAGGGGGAAATTGGGCAAAATGGGAAATGGGGGAAATGGGGGAATAGAGAGAGGCTCAGTTAGATTGGAGATCTGGGGGGAAAAACAGGGAAAATGGGCAAAATGGGAAATGGGGGAAAAGAGAGACTTGGTTAGATTGGAGATTTTGGGGGGAAAAACGGGGAAAATGGGAAAAACCTGAAATAAGGGAAATGGGGGAAATAGGAGAAAAGAGAGACTCGGTTAGATTGGAGATCTGGGGGGGAAATGAGACAAAAATGGGAAAAAAAGCAGGGGAAAAGTCCAGAGAGGATTTTTTGGGGTGGTCCCAGGAGATTTTTTGGGCTCTCCCAGCGGGGTTTTGGGCTCCCCAGTGGATTTTTATGGGATCCCAGTGTAATTTTGGGCTCCCCATTGGATTTTTACGGGATCCCAGTGGGATTTTGGGCTCCCCAGTGGATTTTTACGGGATCCCAGCAGAATTTTGGGGTTCCAGCAGGATTTTGGGGTTTCCATTGGATTTTTATGGGATTCCAGCAGGGTTTTGGGCTCCCCAGTGGATTTTTATGGGATCCCAGTGGGATTTGGGGCTCCCCAGTTAGTTTTGGGATACCCTGTTGGCTTTTTATGGGATCCCAGTGGGATTTTGGGCTCCCCATTGGATTTTTATGGGATCCCAGCGGGGTTTTGGGCTCCCCAGTGGATTTTTATGGGATTCCATTGGGATTTTGGGCTCCCCAGCGAATTTTTACAGGATCCCAGCAGGATTTTTGGGGTTCCAGCAGGATTTTTACAGGATCCCAGCAGGACTTTGGGGTCCCAGCAGGTTTTTGGGGTTCCCATTGGATTTGTACAGGATCCCAGCAGGCCTTTGGGGTCCCAGCAGGATTTTGGGGTGCAGACCTGCTCCCTGTTGCTCTCCAGCGCGGGCAGCACCTCCTTGACCGTCCTCTCCACCAGCACCCCCCCGACCATGCGGAAACACTTCCGGGTGGGATCCACCTCCCGCAGCGTCTCGATCACCAGCCTGGGCAGCACCCCAAATCCTGAGCCACCCTAAATCCACCCTGAGCCACCCTAATTCCACCCTGAGACATCCCAAATCCATCCTGATCTACCCTAAATCCACCCTGATCCACCCTAAATCCATCCTGATCCATCCCAAATCCATCCTGATCCACCCCAAATACACCCCAAATCCTGAGCCACCCTAATTCCACCCTGAGACATCCCAAATCCACCCTGAGCCACCCCAAATCCACCCTGATCTACCCTAATTCCACCCTGAGCCACCCTAATTCCACCCTGATCCATCCCAAATCCATCCTGAGCCACCCCAAATCCATCCTGATCCACCCCAAATCCACCCTGAGCCACCCAAATCCACCCTGAGCCACCCCAAATCCATCCTGATCCACCCCAAATCCACCCTGAGCCACCCAAATCCATCCTGATCCACCCCAAATCCACCCTGACCCACCCCAAATCCACCCCAAATCCTGAGTCACCCTAAATGCACCCCAAATCCATCCTGATCCACCCCAAATCCACCCTAAATCCATCCTGATCCACCCCAAATCCACCCTAAATCCATCCTGATCCCCCCCAAATGCATCCTGATCCACCCCAAATCTCCTAAACCCCGCATCCCGAAACCCAAATCCCCAATTCCCCAAACCCCACACCCTGCAGTCCAAACCCCCAATTCCCCAAACCCCACACCCCAAACCCCCAATTCCCCAAACACCAAATCCCAAAACCCCAAACCCTGCATCCCAAACCCCCAAAGCCCGACCCGAAACCCCAAACCCCACACCCCAAACACCAAACCCAAAACCACAAACCCCCAAATCTCAAACCCCAATCCCCAAACCCCCAAACCCTGCACCCCAAAACCCCAAATCCCTGACCCCACACCCCAAATCCCCGGCCCCACACCCACGTGTGCTCGTTGAGCTCCAGCTCCAGCTCGGCCGCCTTGGAGGCCAAACCCCGCTGGTCCTGCCGCAGGCGGTTAAAGCGCGACACCACCTGCACAGCAAACTGGGATGGACTGGGAGCCACTGGGAGGGACTGGGAGGGACTGGGAATGGACTGGGAGGGACTGGGAGCCACTGGGAGGGACTGGGAATGGACTGGGAGGGATTTGGACTGGACTGGGTGAGACTGGGAATGGTCTAGGACCCACTGGGATGGGCTGAGAGGGACTGGGAATGGACTGGGAGAGACTGGGAATGGACTGGGACCCACTGGGAATGGACTGGGAGAGGACTGGGAATGGACTGGGGGCCACTGGGACAGACTGGGACGCACTGGGAGGGGCTGGGAGCGACTGGGAATGGACCAGGAAGGGACTGGGAATGGCCTGGAACCCACTGGGAATGGACTGGAAGGGACTGGGACAGGCTGGGAATAGACTGGGATGGGACCGGGACACACTGGGACATACTGGGAATGGACTGAGATGGACTGGGGCAAACTGGGAACAGGACTGGACTGGGAAAGGCCTCCCCCGTTATCAGGGACCCCTCCCCAGATTACCAGAGACCCCTCCCCGTTATCAGGGACCCCCCTCATTCCCCAGCCCCCCGCTCCCACAGCCCTCCACTCGCTCCGCGGCCCGCCCCCCCTCACTCCCGGTGCCCCCCTCACTCCCGGTGCCCCCTCCCACCTCCCGGTGCCCCCTCCCACCTCCCGGTGCCCGCTGACCTGTTCGGCGCTCAGCCCCTTCCCCGCCGGGGCCGCCACTCGCCCCTTCCCCGGCTCCGCCATCTTGCCCCGCGCGCCCCCTCCTCTTCCGGCCGCGCCGCTCGCGCCGCGCCGCCACTTCCGGCCGCCATCTTGGGCTCGGGTGAGGGCGGCGTCGGCGCCATCTTGAGTGAGGGCAGAGTGCCTGAGGGGGAATTTCAGGCGGGAATGTGCGGGAATGGGGCGAGAAAAGGGGGGAAAGTGGGGGGGAAAGGGGGTTCGGGGTGGGGGGAGGGCGGAGGTGCGGCGGGTTCGGGGTTTTGGGGGGCTGGGGATAGGTGGGGGGCGGCGGGGGGGCGGTTTGGGGGGTGTGTGGGGGCGGTTTGGGGAGTCTGGGGTAGTTTTGGGGGTGTTTGGGGGGTCTGGGGTAGTTTTGGGGGTGTTTGGGGGGTCTGGGGTAGTTTTGGGGGTGTTTGAGGCAGTTTGGGGGGGGCTGGGGTAGTTTGGGGGGTGTTTGGGGCAGTTTTTGGGGTCTGGAGCAGTTTGGGGGGGGTCTGGGGTAGTTGTGGGGGGTTTGGGGCAGATTTGGGGGTGTTTGGGGCTGTTTTTTGGGGGCTGGGGTACTTTGGGGTCAAAATTGGGGCAGCTCAGAGGGAGCTGAGGACATTTGGGGGGTCAGGGGGTGGTTTGGGGTCACACCTGGGGTTGTTTGGGGCAGTTTTGGGGGTTCAGGGGCAGTTTGGGGGGTTCAGGGGCAGTTTTGGGGGTTCCAGGTTCCCCCCCCAGCCCTGTGACCCCTCCCCAATTTGGGGTGTCCTCCCCCCCAGGCTGAGGGTGGCCCCCCGGGCCCTGCTGTGCTGCCCCCCGAGAGCCTCGAGAGCCCCCCAGAGCTCCAGCAGCGCGGGCAGGTACCGAGGGGGACCCCAAAAACCCTGTGGAGAATCCCAAAAACCCCATGGGGACCCAAAATACCCTGTAGAGAACCCCAAAAACCCCATGGGGAACCCCAAAAACCCCAGAGGGGCTGAGGTGACCCTGGGGGTGACCCCAGGTGTGTGTGGAGGGGGCTCAAGAGTGACCCTGCTCCCCTTGGGGTCACCTGGGGGTGTCCCTGTCCCCAAGGGGGTGACCCCAATCCCTTTGAGGGGTCCCATGGAGTGACCCCAGTCCCCGTGAGGTGCCCTTGGGGTCCCCAGGGACAGCAATGTCACTTTGGTGTCCCCTTGGTGTCCCCACCCTGCAGTGGCCTGGCCACAGTGATGTCCCCAGTCCCACTGAGGTCCCCAAAAGTGTCCCCTCCCCACAGCCATGGTGGTGTCCCCAGCCCCACTGAGGTGTCCCCAGTCCCTCCGAGGTCCCCTCAGTGTCCCCAGACCCGTCGGTGTCCCCCTGTCCCCCTGAGTCCCTCACAGTGTCCCCTCCCCAAGCCCCTGTGGCCCTGTCAATGTCCCCAGACCCATCAGTGTCCCCAGACCCTTTGGTGTCCCCCTGAGTCTATCCCAGTGTCCCCTCCCCGCAGCCCTGTGGCCACGTCAATGTCCCCAGACCCTTTGGTGTCCTCCTGAGTCCTTCACAGTGTCCCCTTCTCAAACCCCTGTGACCACATCAGTGTCCCCAGGCCCATCGGTGTCCCCCTGAGTCCCTCATGGTGTCCCCTCCCCGCAGCCCTGTGGCCACGTCAATGTCCCCAGCCCCATCGGTGTCCCCCTGTCCCCCTGAGTCCCTCACAGTGTCCCCTCCCCACAGCCATGGCAGCGCCCCCAGCCCCGTTGGTGTCCCCCTGAGTCCATCCCAGTGTCCCCTCCCCAAACCCCTGTGGCCCTGTCAGTGTCCCCAGCCCCTCTGGTGTCCCCCTGAGTCCCTCCCGGTGTCCCCTCCCCACAGCCCTGCGGCCATGGCAGTGTCCCCAGCCCCATCAGCGCCCCCAGCCCCATCAGTGCCCCCAGGCCCAGCAGTGTCCCCCTGTCCCCCTGAGCCCCTCATGGTGTCCCTTCACCACAGCCCTGCAGCCACGTGAATGTCCCCAGACCCTTTGGTGTCCCCCTGAGTCCCTCACAGTGTCCCCTCCCCACAGCCCTGCGGCCATGGCAGCGCCCCCAGACCCATCAGTGTCCCCAGCCCCATCAGCACCCCCAGCCCCGCTGGTGTCCCCAGCCCCGCCGGTGTCCCCGGAGGCGGCGGGCGGGCTGGTGGCGGTGGCACAGGTGACATGCACGGCGGACAAGGAGCACAACTGGCGGCAGTGCTCGGCGCTGGTGCGGCGCGCGGCGGCCGCGGGGGCCCGGCTGGTGTTCCTGCCCGAGGCCTTCGACTTCATCGGGGACAGCGCCCAGCACAGCCTGGCGCTGGCTGAGCCCCTGCACGGGGACACCGTGCGGCGCTACCGCCGCCTGGCCAGGTGGGACAGCGGGGTGGCACCGGGTGGCACCTGGGACAGCGGGGTGGCACCTGGGGACAGTGGGGAAGAACACAGGGGCAGCGGGGTGGCACCTGGGACAGCGCAGGGGCACCGGGATGGCACCTGGGGGCACCGGGAGTGGCACCTGGGACAGTGGGGTGGCACATAGGGACAGTGGGGTGGCACCGGGAGTGGCACCTGGGGGCACTGGGAGTGGCACTGGGGACAGCGGGGATGGCACCTGGGACAGCGGGGTGGCACCCAGGACAGCGAGGTGGCACCCAGGACAGCGAGGTGGCACCTGGGACAGTGGGGGTGGCACTGAGAGAAACTGGGAGTGGCACCCGGGACAGTGAGGTGGCACACAGGGACAGCAGGGTGGCACCCAGGGACAGCAGGGTGGCACTGGGGACAGCAGGGTGGTACACAGGGACAGTGGGGTAGAACACAGGGACAGCGAGGTGGCACCTGGGACAGCGAGGTGGTACCCAGGACAGCGAGGTGGCACTGGGGACAGCGGGGTGGCACACAGGGACAGCAGGGTGGCACGCAGGGACAGCGGGGTGGCACCCGGGACAGCAGGGTGGCACCTGGGACAGTGGGGTGGCACCAGGGACAGCAGGGTGGCACTGGGGACAGCAGGGTGGCACCCAGGACAGCGGGGGTGGCACCCGGGGACAGCAGGGTGGTACACAGGGACAGCGCAGTGGCACTGTGGGTGGCACCCAGGACAGCGAGGTGGCACACAGGGACAGCGGGGTGGCACCTGGGACAGTGGGGGTGGCACTGAGAGAAACTGGGAGTGGCACCACGGGTCAGTGGGGCTGTCACTGTGTGTCCCCAGGGGTTGTCACCGTGTGTCCCCAAGGAAGGTCACTGTGTGTCACCAGGTGTCACCGTGTGTCCCCATGCCGTGTCCCTCTGTGTCCCCAGGGAATGTGACGTGTGGCTCTCCCTCGGTGGCTTCCACGAGCGTGGCGAGGACTGGGACAGCACCGGCCGCATCTACAACTGTCACCTGCTGCTGGACAGCTCGGGTGGGACACGGCCTCCCTGAGCCACCCTGTGCCACCCCGTGCCACCCCATGCCACCCTGCGTCACCCATGCCAAACCTGTGCCACCCCGTGCCACCCCTGTGTCACCTATGCCACCCTGTGTCGCCCCTGTGTCACCCCTGTGTCACCCCTGAGCCTCCCTGTGCCACCCTGTGTCACCCCTGTGTCACCCCGTGCCACCCTGTGTCACCTACGCCACCCTGTGCCACCCCTGTGTCACCCCTGTGTCACCCAGATCCCCAGTCCCTGTGTCCCCACATGTCCCCACTGTCCCCAACCCCGTGGTGGCTGTCCCCAGGCACGCTGGTGGCTGTCCCCCGTGTCCCCAAGCCCGTGGTGGCTGTCCCCACTGTCCCTAACCCCCTGGTGGCTGTCCCCAACCCGTGGTGGCTGTCCCCAACCCCATGGTGGCTGTCCCCAACCCGTGGTGGCTGTCCCCAACCCCGTGGTGGCTGTCCCCACTGTCCCCAACCCCGTGGTGGCTGTCCCCAACCCCGTGGTGGCTGTCCCCCGTGTCCCCAACCCCGTGGTGTCTGTCCCCAAGCCCATGGTGGCTGTCCCCAACCCCGTGGTGGCTGTCCCCAGCCCCGTGGTGGCTGTCCCCCATGTCCCCAAGCCCGTGGTGGCTGTCCCCTGTGTCCCCAACCCCTGGTGGCTGTCCCCAACCCGTGGTGGCTGTCCCCAGGCGCGCTGGTGGCCGCCTACCGCAAGCTGCACTTGTTTGACGCGGCGCTGCCGGGGGCGCCGGCGCTGAGCGAGAGCTCCTTCACCAACCCCGGCCGGGAGCTGCTGCCCCCCATCGACACCCCCGTGGGCAAGGTACGGTCCCCCGCTGTCCCTGAGTGTCCCCAAGTGTCCCCAAGTGTCCCCAAGTGTCCCCTGCCTTCGCTGATCCCCGGGATTCCTGGGGCTGGCCGTGTGCCGCAGCCTGCGCTTCCCAGAGCTGGCCCTGCCCCGGTCCTTTACAGCCCTAAAGACTGACCCCACAGTGCCCAGGGGTGTCCCCAAGTGTCCCCGAGTGTCCCCGAGTGTCCCCAAGTGTCCCCAAGTGTCCCCTGCCTTCGCTGATCCCCAGCATTCCCAAAACATCCTGGGGCTGGCCGTGTGCCGCAGCCTGTGCTTCCCGGAGCTGGCTCTGCTCCGGTCCTTTACAGCCCTAAAGACTGACCCCACAGTGCCCAGGGGTGTCCCCAGGGTGTCCCCAGGGTGTCCCCAAGTGTCCCCAGGTGTCCTCAGCCCTCAGTGACCCACGGTATTCCCAAAAAACCGCTGGGATTGGCCGTGTGCTGCAGGCTGTGGGTCCTGGAGCTGGCCCTGCCCAAACCACAGCCATGACCCCACAGTGCCCAGGGGTGTCCCCAAGTGTCCCCAGGGTGTCCCCAGTGTCCCCAATGTCCCCAATGTCCCCGCAGCTGGGGCTGGCCGTGTGCTATGACCTGCGGTTCCCCGAGCTGGCCCAGGCCCTGCGCGGGGCCGGTGCCCAAATCCTGACCTACCCCTCGGCCTTCACCGTCACCACCGGAGCCGCGCACTGGGAGGTGAGGGGACACCCAGGGGGGCTTGGGGACACCCTGGGGGGGCTTGGGGATACCCCTGGGGAGGTTGGGGACACCCCTGGGGGCTTGGGGACACCGCTGTCCCCTCAGGTGCTACTGTGTGCCCCTGCCCCCCGTGCCCTTGTGGGTGGCACCACTGACCCCTGGGTGACCCCACTGACCCCTGGGTGACCCCACTGACCCCTGGGTGACCCCGCTGTCCCCTGGGTGACACCACTGACTCCTGGGTGACACCACTGTCCCATTGGTGACCCCGCTGCCCCCTGGGTGACACCACTGACCCCTGGGTGCCCCCGCTGTCCCCTGGGTGACACCACTGTCCCATTGGTGACCCCACTGCCCCCTGGGTGACCCCGCTGACCCCTGGGTGTCCCTGCTGACCCCTGGGTGACACCACTGACCCCCGGGTGCCACCGCTGTCCCCTCAGTGTCCCTGCTGCCCCCTCAGTGCCACCGCTGTCCCCTGGGTGCCACCACTGTCCCATTGGTGACCCCACTGCCCCCTCAGTGCCCCCGCTGTCCCCGCAGGTGCTGCTGCGTGCCCGTGCCATCGAGTGCCAGTGCTACGTGGTGGCCGCGGCCCAGAGCGGGCGGCACAACGCCAGCCGGGCGTCCTTCGGCCACTCGCTGGTGGCCGACCCCTGGGGCACCGTGGTGGCACAGTGCCACGAGGGGCCGGGGCTGTGCCTGGCACACATCGACCTGACCTACCTGGAGCAGGTGCGCCGGGAGCTGCCCGTGCACGGCCACCGCCGCGGGGACATCTACGGGGACCTGCCGGGGACACCGGGGACGTGACGGCGCCAGGCATCCGCTTGGGATTGGCACCGGGTTTGCTTTTCTGTCCCCAAAACGGAATGGCACGAGGTGTCCTGCTTTTCTTTATTGGGGGTCCCAAATCTGCATCATTTCAGCCCCAAATCTGCATCATTTCAGCCCTAAATCAGCCCCAACTCTGCCCTTTTTCGTCCCCAAAACAGAATGGCACATGGTGTCCTCTCCTTTCTTTATTGGGGGTCCCAAATCTGACCCAAATCTGCATCAAATCAGCCCCAAATCTGCACCATTTCAGCCCTAAATCAGCCCCAAATCTGCACCATTTCAGCCCTAAATCAGCCCCAAATCTGCATAATTTCAGTCCCAAATCTGCCCTTTTAGACCCCAAAACGGAATGGCACAAGGTGTCTTCTCCTTTCTTTATTGGGGGTCCCAAATCTGCATCATTTCAGCCCTAAATCAGCCCCAAATCTGCGTCATTTCAGCCCTAAATCAGCCCCAAATCTGCACCATTTCAGCCCCAAATCTGCACCATTTCAGCCCTAAATCAGCCCCAAATCTGCATCATTTCAGTCCCAAATCTGCCCTTTTAGACCCAAAACTAAATGGCACAAGGTGTCCTTTCCTTTCTTTATTGGGGGTCCCAAATCTGACCCAAATCTGCGTCATTTCAGCCCCAAATCTGCATCATTTCAGCCCTAAATCAGCCCTAAATCTGCCCTTTTCGTCCCCAAAATGGAATGGCACAAGGTGTCCTCTCCTTTCTCTATGTGGTCCCAAATCTGACCCAAATCTCCATAAATTCAGCCCCAAATCTGCATCATTTCAGCCCTAAATCAGCCCCAAATCTGCCCCTTTTGTCCCCAAAATGAAACAGTACAATGTGTCCTCCCCGCTCTCCTTTTGGGGTCCCCACTCTTTTTTGGGGTCTCGATTCAGCCCCAAATTTGCTCTTAAATCTGCATCAATTTAGCCCAAAAATTGACCCTGAATGTGCCCCAAATCTGCCCCAATTCACCCCAAAATCAGCCCAAATTTGCACTGAATCAGCACTTTTCTCCCCAAAATGGATTTCTGCTTTTTGGGGGGTCCCCCCTTTTTTTGGGGGCCTCTTCAGGGGAGGAAGTTCCTTCTATTGAAATTTTTAAAATACAAAAAATCCCTGGAAATGACCCCAAAGTGTGGAGGAATTTTGGGATGGGTGGGATTTGGGATAACCCTGAACCCTCCAAGTGCTGGGTGGGAATGGGGAGAAAACCAAGGAAAACGGGAAAAAAACTCCATCCCTGTCAGGTTTTGGGGGAAAATGGGAATTTTTTGGGAGGAAAACCAAGGATTTGGGGAGGAAAATGGGAATTTGGGGGGAAATTTCCATTTGCTTTTCGTCGTTGTTTTTAATGGATATAAAAGAGGGGGAAAAAAACATGGAAAATATAAGGAGGAGGAATTTGACAAGGAAAATGAGGAATTCTGGAATATTCCACAGCCCCAATCCCCAAATCTCAGCATGTCCCTTGAGTTCTTAAAATGAGATTTTTGCCCTTTTTTTGGTCACTTTTAATGGATACAAAAGAGGAAAAAAATCACGGAAAACACAAGGACAAAGAAGAATTGATGAGGAAAGTGAGGAATTCTGGAATGTTCCGTCTTTCCAATGCTTCCCACACCTCAAATCCCCAATTCTGAGTGCACCAATGGGATTTTTGCCTTTTTGCTGCTGTTTTTAATGGATAAAAAAGAACAGAAAACGGGGAAAAATCAAGGAAAACACAAGGGAAAGGAGGAATTGACAGGGGAAAATGGGAATTCTGGAATATTCCGTTATTCCTGGGCTCCCCAAACCTCCAATCCCCAAATCCCAGTGTGTTGCACTGAAGGGATTTTGGCGTTTTTGTTGGTGTTTTTAATGGGTAAAAATAAAATAGGGAAAAAACATGGAAAACACAAGGAGAAGAAGGAGTTCAACAGGAAAAAAGTGAGGAATTCTGGAATATTCCACATCCCCAAATCCCAGCCTGTCGCACCAATGGGATTTTTGCCTTTTCATCACCGTTTTTAATGGATACAAAAGAAAAAACAGGAGGGAAAATCCATGGAAAACACAAGGAGAACCCATCAGGAACCCCAAAATGCTCCAAATCCTGGAATATCCCACATCTCCAACCCAGAATATTCCGTTGTTCCAGGGCTTCCCACACCTGAAATCCTCAATTCTGACTGTGCCACACTAATGGGGTTTTTGCATTTTTCTCCATGTTTTTAATGGATAAAAAAGAAAAGAAAATAGGGAGAAAACATGGAAAATACAAGGAGAAAGTGACAGGAAAAAACAAGGACTTCTGGAATATTCCACATCCCCAAATCCCAGCCTGTCGCACCAATGGGATTTTTGCCTTTTCATCACCGTTTTTAATGGATACAAAAGAAAAAACAGGAGGGAAAATCCATGGAAAACACAAGGAGAACCCATCAGGACCCCCCCAAAAAGCGCCAAATCCCGGAATCCCCCAAACCTCCAACCCTCCCCAAATCCATGAGTGGGTCAGTAAGTGAGAGGGGGGAAAAAAAACCCCAGAAAATCCCTGGAGGAAAAAACAAAAAAACCCAAAAATCGGGATGGATCCCTCAGGGAGCTGTGTGGAGCATCAAGTTCCTGAGGAGTTTCTGGCGGCCCAGCTCGTAATCCTCCTCGTCCACGTTGACCAGCAGCTTGATGGCCTCGTGGCCCACGGCCTGTTTGAGCGAGTCCGTGATGAAGACGCCCTTGAGCGCTTCCAGGAGGGAACCGTTGATGTAATCCCGCCAGAAGGCGTCGAGGTAGGTGAGCTCCGAGAATTTGATGTCGCAGATGATGGAGCCCAAATCCCGGGATTTGAGGATGGTGTTGGCCTGGTTGAAGCGCTCGAATTGGCGCTCCAGAGGGTCCTGCTTGTTGGAGAAGACGTTGCCGTGCAGGGCGGAGTCGTGCTGGCAGTACTCGGCGCGCACGCGCAGGCGGATGTCTGCGGAGACGGGGGGGTTAGGGGATCCAAAATTCCCAATCCCAAATCCTGACCCCAATCCCAAACCCTGCTCACCGCAGAGATCCCAATCCCACATTCCCAAATCCCAATCCCAAATCCCAATCCCAATCCCGACCCTGCTCACTGTAGGTCTGTTTCTCCACAGGGATCCCAATCCCACATTCCCAATTCCCAATCCCAAATCCTGACCCCAATCCCAAACCCTGCTCACCGCAGAGATCCCAATCCCACATTCCCAAATCCCAATCCTGACCCTGCTCACCACAGGTCTGTTTTTCCTTGAGGATCCCGATCCCACATTCCCAATCCCAAATCCCGATCCAAATCCCGACCCTGCTCACTGCAGGTCTGTTTCTCCAAAAGTATCCCATTCCCACATTCCCACATTCCAAATCCCAATCCCAAATCCTGATCCCAATCCCAAACCCTGCTCACCGCAGGTCTGTTTCTCCTTGGGGATCCCAAATTCCCAAAACCAAATCCCACATTCCCAATCCCAATCACCACAGGTCTGTTTTTCCTTGAGGATCCCGATCCTGTGTTCCAAATCCCACATTCCCAATCCCACATTCCAAATCCCAAATCCCGCTCACCACAGTTCTGTTTCTCCTTGGGGATCCCCACTCCAAATTCCCAATCCCAAATCCCATTCACAAATCCCGATCCCAAACCCTGCTCACGGCAGGTCTGTTTCTCCTTGGGGATCCCGATCCCACTCCCACATTCCCAATCCCAAATCCCGATCCCAAACCCTGCTCACCGCAGGTCTGTTTCTCCTTGGGGTCGGGGGTCGCTGACTTCCGCCGTTTCCGTTGGCTCCCGAGGAGGCTCCGGGCCCGGCCCGGGCGCTTCGGGCCCAGCTGGGGCCCCCCCGGGGGGCAGCACAGGGACGGGTGGGGGGCAGGCACTGGGGCAGGGGGGCAATGGGGTCAGCGACCCCAAACCCACCCCCAGAGACCCCAAACCCACCCCCAGAGACCCCAAATCCAACCCCAGAGACCCCAAATCCACCCAGGGAACCCCAAAATCCACCCCCAGAGATTCCAAATCCAACCAGGGAACCCCAAAATCCACCCATCGGATCTGGGCACAGTCCCCCAAACCCAGAGCTCTGAGAGGCTCCGAGTTGGGAACTTTGGGATGACCCCAAATGGGGAGTGCTGACCCCAAAAAGGGGTGACAAGGGGGTGAGATCCCAAAAGAAAGTAAAGACCCCTAAAAAGGGGTGAGATCCCAAATGGAGGTGATCCCAAATGTAATGGTGATGACCCCAAAGTGGGGCTGACAGTCCCAAATGGGGTGATGACCCCAAAGGGGACGGTGACCCCAAAGGGGACGGTAACCCCAAAGGGGGGTGATGACCCCAAAGGCGACAGTGGCTCCAAAAGGGATGGTGACCCCAAAGCTGTCAGTGACCCCATTTGTGACAGTGACCCCAGAGGGGATGATGACCCCAAAGCTGTCGGTGGCCCCAGAGGTGACGGTGACCCCAATTGTGACAGTGACCCCAAAGCTGTCAGTGACCCCATTTGTGACAGTGACCCCATGTGTGACAATGACCCCATGTGTGACAGTGTCCCCATGTGTGACAGTGTCCCCTCGGTGGCGGTGGCCCGGGGCTCGGTACCTGATTTGTGGGGGTGGCCCAGGCCGGGCGCGGTGCCCCCGGGCGCGCGGGGGGTGACGTAGCGGATGGACGTCTCCTCCAGGTACTTGTCCACCAGGTCCGGGCACACTGCAACACAAACGGGACCGCGTGGCACCGGGGCGGCACGGGAATGGCACCAGGAAGATACAAGGAATAGCACTGGGATGGCACTGGGAATGTCACAGGAATGGCACCAGGATGGCACTGGAATGGCACCAAGGATGGCACTGGGAATGGCACTGGGATGTCACCAAGGATGGCACAGGAATGGCACCGGGAATGGCACAGGAATGGCACCAGAATGGCACTGGAATATCATGGGAATGGCACCATGATGGCACTGGAATGGCACCAAGGATGGCACCGGGAATGGCACAGGAATGGCACCAGGAATGGCACAGGAATGGCACTGGGAATGGCACCGTGATGGCACTGGGATGTCACACGAGCGGCATTGGGATGGCACTGGCAATGCCACTGGAATGGCAGGTGACAGTGTGACTCCAATACCCCGATATCGCCTCGTGGATCGCTATGGTGACCCTCTCTATCGCGACAGTGACCCCATATATCGCGATATATCGCGCCGGGCACTCACCGGGGCGCCGGCGCTTGAGGCTGACGTAGGGCAGCAGGTCGTGGCGGGTGATGATGCGCAGCAGCTGCAGCAGCTGCCGCAGGTTGCTCTCGTCGCAGCGGCCCTGCCGCTCCAGCGCCAGCAGGAAGTCGCGGCCCGAGCGGATGCGGCCGCGCTCGGCCTCGTCCAGCACGTCGACGAAGAGGAAGGAGAGGACGCGCACGTCGCGGTGCGTCAGCTGCGCGCCCACGATGTCGAACATGCGGTGCAGCGAGTACAGCCCCTGCTCGCGCTCGCCCGGCTCCTCGGGCCACGGCGCCGAGCCCGCGCCCCCGGTACTGCCACCGCCACCGGTACCGGCACCGGCACCGCCGCCGCGCTTCCGGCCCGCCATGGGCACCTGGGGACAGACGGGACAACGGACACACAGTCAGTGGGACATGGGGACAGTGGGACACAGGGACAATGGGACATGTGGTCAGTGAGACATGGGGACAACGGGACATGGGGTCAGTGGGACACGGGGACAATGGGACATGTGGTCAGTGGGACATGGGGACAATGGCACCGCCACTGCTGCGCTTCCGGCCCGCCATGGGGACAGGGGGACAGACATGGGGACAATGGGACACGCGGTCAGTGGGACATGTGGTCAGTGGCACATGGCACTGCTGGCACTGCCACTGCCACGCTTCCGGCCCGCCATGGGCACCTGGGGACAGACAGGGGACAATGGGACATGGGGTCAGTGAGACATGGGGACAACAGACACACAGTCAGTGAGACATGGGGACAATGGGACACAGGGTCAGTGGGACACATGGTCAGTGGGACATGGCACTATTGGCACTGCCACTGAGTTTCTGGCCTGCCATGGGCACCTGGGGACAGACAGGGGACAACGGGACACACAGTTAGTGAGACACGGGGACAACGGGACATGGGGTCAGTGGGACACAGGGACAACAGGACATGGCACTACTGGCACCTGCCACGCTTCCAGCCCGCCATGGGGACATACACAGGGACAACAGGACACAGGAACAATGGGACTTGGGGACAATGGGACACAGGGACAGCAGGGCGCTCCCATCCAGCGGGATCCTGACCCCAGTCCCAGGGATTTTCCAATGGGATCCCAACTCCAATCCCAGGATTTTCCATCGGGATCCCGACCCCAATCTTTGGGGTTTTCCATCAAGATCCCCACACCAATCCCAGCATTTTCCCTGGGATCCTGACCCCAATCCCGGGGATTTTTCCATCAGGATCCCAAACCCAATCCTGGGGATTTTCCAGCGGGATCCCGACCCAAATCCCAGGATTTTCCCTGGGATCCTCCCAAACAAAGGGAAAACATCGGGATCAGGACAGGAACCCCCCACCCATCCCCAATTCCCAGCACAGCCACACCCGACTCCTCTCCAAGGAGGAAATTCCCAGAAAATCCCTGGAAAAAACAACCTGGCCCCGGCTCCAGGGGCTGAAACAGGAATGGGAAGCACCTGGTGCCGTGATCCGGCTTTTTTTAGGGAGTTTTCCTTAAAATGTCTCCTTTTTCCCCAAATTTGGGTGGTGAACTGTACAAAAATCAGGAAAAATTCTTGGATTTGTCAGCACCAACCAGCCTGGAATGATCCTGGATTGTTTTCCTGCCATGGAAACCAGAAAAAAGCTGGAATTTGGTGTGGTGCTCACTGAAAATCCAAAGAAATCTGGGAAAATTGAGGTTTTATGGAAGTGCTGATCCCTGGGAAGGGGGAATTTTGGGGATTAACTTTCCCAAAAAATCCACAAAAATTGTTAAATTCACTTCCAAGCAGGGAATTCCGGCCCTGGAGGAGATCCCGAGATTCCCACAGTTCCCAAAATCCTGAAATCCCAAAATCCACAGGGGTGGGAGGTGAAAATCCCAAAAAAATCCATGGATTTTCCTCAAAAAGGAGCAGGAAAATCTCCCGGAAAATGATGAGGATCCCAAAAATCCCTCGGAAAAATCCCTCCCACCCCACTCCGGAGGCTTTTCCCAGGAAGAGAATTCTGGGAGCATTCAAAGAATTTCGGGATAAACGGGAAAAACGAGTTCCTGGAGCTTCCCAGGGCTCAGCCCCACGGGATCCCTGTGGATATTTTGGGATTTTTCCCACTAAATCCAGGCCAGAATTCCACATTATCCCAGAAAATCCCGGCTTGGGTGGGGAGAAAAGGCCCAAATCCCAATTTTTTAGGTGAATTTTCCAGGGAAAATGGACACAAGGGAGACTCCAGGTGAACTTTTCCCCTCCAGTTCCCAGGGATAGGAACAATTCCCAAACAACTGGGAAAAACCCCACAAAAATTTGGATTAATCCTGAATTTTCCACTTTTTTTTGGGGTGAATTCCCCTTCCTAAATCCAGCAGAAATTCCCAAAAATCCGTTCCCAGCCCCAATAAATTGGATTTCTGGGGAGGAGCTCCAGGGGCTGGGAAGGGAGGAGGAGGAAGAGGAGGAAGAGGAAGCTCCTGACAAAATATCCCATGGAAAACCGGCTCTTCCAGGGATTTGGGAATTTGGGAATTCCCACCCCTGGATCCGGCTGGGAAGGTGGGAATTGAATTCCTGAGCGGGTTCAGCTTCAATCCATGGCTCCTGAATAATCCCAAATGCCAAAATTCCAAGGGATTCCCAAGGTGGGGAGAATTCCCAATAATTCCAGGATAATAATTCCAGGATAATAATTCCAGGATAATTCCCAATAATTCCAGGAGAAGTGGCTGGGGCAGGGAGGGAAATCCTGGGATGCTGCCCCAGCTTCTGGAGCTTCCCTGGATCCCTCCTGAGCCATCCCCAAATTCCCTGGATCCATCCCGAGCTTCCAGATCCATCCTGAACTCCTCTGGATCCACCAGGAGCCTCTGGATCCATCCCTGGATCCACCTCAGACCTCTCCAGATCCATCCCAAACTCCTTTAGATCCATCCCAGACTTCCCTGAATCCACCAGGACCCTCTGGATCCATCCCAAACTTCCCTGGATCCATCTCAGACCTCCCCAAATCCATCCTGGAGTCTCCTTGGATCCATCAAGATCCTCTGGATCCATCCCAAACTTCCCAAGATCCGTTCCAGACCTCTCCAGCTCCATCCCAAACCCCTTTAGATCCATCCCAGACTTCCCTGGATCCATCCAGAGTCTCTGGATCCATCCCTGGATCCATCCCAGACCTGTCCAGATCCATCAGGAGCCTCTCCCCAAACCCATCCCAGTTCTCTGGATCCCTCCTGACCATCCCTGGATCCACCAGGAATCTCTGGATCCATCCCAAACCTCTCCAGATCCATCTTTAACCTCTCTGGATCCGTCCTGACCATCCCTGGATCCATCAGGAACCTCTGGATCCATCCCTGGATCCATCTCAGATCTCTCCAAATCCATCCTGAGTCTCCTTGGATCCATCTTGGACCTCTCTGGATCCATCAGGAATCTCTGGATCCATCCCAAACACTTCTGGATCCATCCTGACCATCCCTGGATCCATCTTGAGCTTCTCCAGATCCATCAGGAGCCTCTGGATCCATCCCTGAATCCATCTTGAACCTCTCTGGATCCATCAGGAGCCTCTGGATCCATCCCAAACTTCCCAGGATCTATCCCAAACCTCTCCAGCTCCATCCCAAACACTTCTGGATCCGTCCTGACCATCCCTGGATCCATCAGGAGCCTCTGGATCCATCCCTGGATCCATCCCAGACCTCTCCAGATCCACCAGGAATCTCTGGATCCATCCCAAACCTCTCCAGATCCATCTTTAACTTCTCTGGATCCGTCCTGACCATCCCCGGATCCATCTTGAGCTTCTCCAGATCCATCAGGAGCCTCTGGATCCCTCCCAAGATCCATCCCAAACACCTCTGGATCCATCCCTGAATCCATCTTGAACCTCTCTGGATCCTTCAGGAGCCTCCGGATCCATCTTGGACCTCTCTGGATCCATCCCAAACTTCCCAAGATCCGTTCCAGACCTCTCCAGCTCCATCCCAAACACTTCTGGATCCGTCCTGACCATCCCTGGATCCATCTTGGACCTCTCTGAATCCCTCCTGACCATCCCTGGATTTATCTTGAGCTTCTCCAGATCCATCAGGAGCCTCTGGATCCATCCTGAACCCCTTTGGATCCATCTTGGACCTCTCTGGATCCATCCCAAACTTCCCTGGATCCATGAGGAACCTCTGGATCCATCTCAGATCTCTCCAAATCCATCCTGACCTTCCCTGGATCCATCTTGGACCCTCTGGATCCATCCCAAACTTCCCTGGATCCATCCCGAGCCCCTCTGAGTCCCTCCTAAATCCCAAATCCCCAAAAATCCCCAAATTCCAAACCCACCTCAGCCGTGGATTCTCCGCAATCTCCGATCCTTTTTTTGTTTTTTGTCGTTTTTTTCTTTTTTTCTTTTCCTTCTCCTGGATTTGCCTTTCCGAGAAATTCCCCCCAAAAAAATCCCAAAATTCCAGCAGCGGCCGCAATTCCCGAGGCCGGGATCGCTGGTCAATCCTTACCGGAAAACACCGGAATTTCCCCCCCCGCCCCAAAAAAACCCAAACCTTTTAAATTATTTTTAATTCCCTAATTAATAATTTACGGAGGAAAAGCCTTTAAGTCATTCCCGGTTACAGGAATTCCCTGGATCGCGGATTTTTTGCTCGTTTTAAAGCAAAAACCGCAATAAAAAACCCCCAAAAAACTCGCTGGGCTGAGGAAATATTTGGAATTTCATCCCGTTCCTCCGGGCGCCGCGAATCCCGGGATTTTCCGAGCGGAAAAACCGGGAAAAGCGCCGTTAAATTAACAAAAATACAAAAAAAAAAAAAGAAAAAAATCACAAAAAATTCCGATTTTGGCTGAAACCGGCCCCAAATTCCAGCCAGAACCGGCGGCACCGGGAGGCTCCACCCGTTAAAGGCCCTTAAAGCCCCGGTTCAGCCCCGGGACGGGCCCGGTTCGAGCCCAAAAAGCTCCGGTGAAGCCCCGGTAAGGCCGCGAACGGCGCTGCCGAGCCCCGAAAAGCCGCGGGGAGGCCCCGGGGAGGCTCCAAACGGCGCCGCCGAGCCCCGAAAAGCCCCGGTAAAGCCCCGGTAAAGCCCCGGTGAGGCCCCGGTAAGGCCGCTAACGGCACCGAGCAGGCCCCGCGTCTCCCCCGGGGAAGCTCCGGCGGCGGCAGCGTGGCGAGGAGCGGCGGGGGGAGCGGCGGGGCCCCCCCTGCGGCCCGTCCCGGCCCCGGTGAGCGCGGGGGCCCCTCCCGGCCCCTCACGGCCCCTCAGGGCCGGCCCAGCCCCGGCGCCGCCATCTTGGCTCCGTCCCCCGCTCCCCGCTCCCCGCGGGCGGCTCCGCCCTGACGCAACTTCCGGCAGAGCGAGGCCGCGCCCCCTCTCCGCGCCCGCGAAGCCGCGCCCACATCCGGGCAGCCGCGCGCTCGCTGCGGCTTCACGCCCATAGGGGAACACGGGGAGGGTGGCGCCATGTCGGGTGAGGGCAATATGGTGGGTACATCCGGGTTTGCGCGCTTGGCTTCAGCGCTATCGGTTAGCACGCGGCGGGAGACATTTTGAGTGAGGGCAGCCTGGCAGCGCGTGGCGGCGCGGGCACCATCTTGGAAATCTTGAGGCGGAGGCGCCGCCATCTTAACTAAGGGCAGCAAGGGTGGGGGGGGGGGTTGAGGAGATTTTGGGGTTTTTTTTTTGCGAGTGAGGGAAGAGGGTGGGGACAAGAAGGCGACAATGGGGGGAGGGCAGTGCCACCCTTTGGCCCCGAGCGCTCCCCGCCCCCACACGGGTGGGGCGCTTCACCTTTGCCCCGCGCTGGGTGGGGAAACTGAGGCAGGGCGCGGAGGGGGGGGTTACCTGGGTGTGTCCCCCCCCCTCCCCTCCCCCTCTTAGCTGCCCCGGGGGCCCGGTAATTAACGATTGTAATTGTAATTAGCGATTGTAATTGTAATTAGCGACATTGGCGAGGCACGCGCCGCCGGGGCCTGGGGGGAGGGTGGGGCGGAACCTCGGTGAGGGGACACCGGGGGTGGGGGGGACACCGGGGGGGCGACACCGGGGGTGGGGGGGACACCGGGGGGGCGACACCGGGGGTGGGGGGACACCGGGGGGGAACGGACACACCGGAGGGGTTATCCCGGGTCAGAGCGGCGCTTCCCGGGTAGTCCCCGCTGTCCCGGGAGTGTCCCGGGTGTGTCCCCGCTGTCCCCGGTGTCCCGCGGGGGCCATGCCCGGGGCGGGGCGCGGTGTCCGGGCGGTGTCCGGGCGGTCCCGGTGACTCACGGTGCTCCCCCCCCCGCCCCGCCACATCCCCCCGTGTCCGGCCCGCCCCCGCCGTGCCTATCCCGGACCGGACCGCGCCCCGCCACTGCCCGCACCGGCACCGAGCCCCGAGCACCGAGCCCCGCACGGTGAGTGAGCGCCGCACCCCCACCGGGAACGGCTTTGGGGTCCCCGCCCGCTCCCGGTAACGGGAGGTCGGTCCCGCACCCCAAAATGGGGAACCCCGGCCCCAAATCCCGGTTTGGGTCTAAATCCCGGTTTGGGCTCTAAATCCCGGTAACGGGAATGGGGGGGTCGCTTCCGCACCCCAAAATGGGGAACCCATCCCCAAATTCCGGTTTGGGGTCCCCCACCCGGTAACGGGAACGGGGGTCGGTCCCGCACCCCAAAAATTGGGGCGCCCCATCCCCAAATTCCGTTTTGGGGTCCCCCTCCCGGCCCGGTACCGGGAGACCCCATCCCGGTGTCCGTTTTTGGGGGGGTCTCCATCCCCCCAAACCCCTTTTTTTGGGGTGCCCCACCCTTTTTTTGGGATCCCCCCTTTTTTTGGGGTGGTTCTACCCTTTTTTTGGGGTGCCCCACCCTTTTTTTGGGGTGCCCCACCCTTTGGGAACTTCCATCTTTATTTGGGGGTTCCCCTTTTCTTGGGGTCACTTTTTGGGGGGGATCCCTCATTTTTTGGGGGGTTTCCCCCTTTTTGGGGTGCTCCTCCTTTTTTTAGGGGGCTTCCCCTTTTTTTGGGGGTCCCTCTTTTCTTGGGGTCACTTTTGGGGGGGTTCTTCCTTTTTTGGGGCGATTTCCCCTTATTTTGGGGGGGGTCCCCCTTTCCCCTTTTTGGGGTGAGTTCCCCCGTTTTTTTGGGGGGGTCATTTTGGGAATTCCTCCTTTTTTTCCGGGATTTTATTTTTTTGGGGATTCTCCCTTTTTGGGGTTCCCTTTTTGGGGGTGATTCCTCCTTTTTGGGGGTGATTCCTCCTTTTTTGGGGGGATTCCTCCTTTTTTGGGTGAATTCATCTTTTTTTGGGGGAGTTTCTCCTTTTTTTGGGGGGAGTTTCTCCCTTTTTTTGGGGGGAGTTTCTCCTTTTTTGGGGAGTTTCTCATTTTTTGGGGGGGAGTTTCTCCCTTTTTTGGGGGAGTTTCTCCTTTTTTTTTTTGGAGTTTCTCCTTTTTTGGGGAGTTTCTCATTTTTTTGGGGGGAGTTTCTCCCTTTTTTTGGGGAGCTTCTCCTTTTTTTAGGGGATTCCCCCTTTTTTTGGGGGGCGGAATCTCATTTTAGGGGTTTCCCTCTTTTTTTAGGGTGAATTCCTCCTTTTTTTGGGGCGTTTCCCGTTTTTTTCAAGACTTCCCCTTTTCCCGGGGATGACTTTTGGGGTGGAATTTCTCTTTTTTGGGGTGTTTTTTTTTGGAGAGGAGGGGGGAAACTGAGGCAGAGCCCCGTGAGTCACCGGGGTGTCCCCAAGGGGGGGGAGGGGACACGGCCACACCCTCGGGACGTGTCCCCCTCGTGTCCCCCCCCCGCGCTGAGTCATTCCCGGACATTCCTGGAAAATCCCAAATAAAATCCACAGCGCGGGGGGAGCGGCGGGGGTTGGGGGCGTCCGGGAGGGGATTCTGGGGGGTCCTGGGGGGATTTTGGGGGGTCCAGGAGGGAATTTTGGGGGGTCCTGGGGGGATTTTGGGGTCCCAGGAGGGATTTTGGGGGGTCCTGGGGGGATTTTGGGGTCCCAGGAGGGAATTTTGGGGGGTCCTGGGGAGATTCTGGGGTCCCAGGAGGGATTTTGGGGGGGCCTGGGGGGATTTGGGATCCCAGGAGGGAATTCTGGGGGGCTCAGGGGGAATTTTGAAGTCCCAGGAGGAAATTTGAGGATTTTGGAAGGAATTTTGGGGTCCTGGGTGGGAATTTTGGGGGGTCCTGGAGAGATTTGGGATCGCAGGAGGGAATTTTGCGGGATTTTTGGGGGGTCCAGGAGGGATTTTGGGGTCCTGGAGGGATTCTGGGGAGCTCAGGGAGAATTTTGGGGTCCCAGGAGGGATTTTGGGGGGGCCTGGGGGGATTTTGGGGGGTCCAGGAGGGAATTTTGGGGGGCTCAGGGGGAATTTTGAGGTCCCAGGAGGAAATTTGGGGACTTCAGAAGGAATTTTGGGGTCCTGGGTGGGAATTTTGAGGGATCCTGGAGAGATTTGGGATCACAGGAGGGAATTTTGGGGCATCCTGGGGGGGGATTTTTGGGGGGTCCAGGAGGGATTTTGGGGTCCTGGAGGGATTCTGGGGAGCTCAGGGAGAATTTTGGGGTCCCAGGAGGGATTTTGGGGGGTCCTGGGGGGATTCTGGGGTCCCAGGAGGGAATTTTGGGGTCCTGGGTGGGAATTTTGGGGGGTCCTGGAGGGACTCTGGGGAGCCCCAGGGGGGTTTGGGGGGTCCTGGGGGGATTTTGGGGGGTCCAGGAGGGGTTTTGGGCTCCCAGGAGGAATTTTGGGGTCCCAAGAGGGAATTTTGGGGAGGTCCAGGGGGAATTTGTGTTTCCCACCATGGTTTTTGGGGTTCCCATTGGGATTTTTGGGTTCCCAGTGGGAATTTGGGTTTTCCCATTGGGATTTTCGGGTTCCCTGCAAGACTTTTGGGTTTCCCATTGGGATTTTTGGGTTTCCCATGGACATTTTGGGTTTCCCATGGACATTTTGGGTTTCCCATGGACATTTTTGGTTTCCCATGGACAATTTGGGTTTCCCATTGGGATTTTTGGTTTCCCATGGCTATTTTTGGGTTTCCCATGGACATTTTGGGTTTCCCATGGACATTTTGGGTTTCCCATGGACATTTTGGGTTTCCCATTGAGATTTTTGGGTTTCCCATGGACGTTTTGGGTTTCCCATGGACGTTTTTGGGTTCCCAGCAGGAATTTGGGTTCCCAGCAGGAATTTGGGGTGCCAGCAGGACCTGCAGCCAGGATGCCGTCGCAGCTGGAGCACGCCATGGAGACGCTGATGTTCACCTTCCACAAGTACGCGGGGGACAAGGAGCACCTGGCCAAGGAGGACCTCAGGGCGCTCATGGACAAGGAGTTCCCGGGGTTCCTGGAGGTGGGCGCGGCACAGGGGCCCTGGGTGGGAGCTGTGGGACTCATGGGATGGGATCCATGGGGTGGGATCCATGAGATGGCATCTGTGGGACCCATGGAATGAAATCCATGGGGTGGGATCCATGAGATGGGATCTATGGGATCCATGAGATGGGATCATGGGGTGGGATCTATGAGGTGGGATCTGTGGGATCCATGGGATGAAATCCATGGGATGGGATCCATAAGATGGGATCTGTAGGGTGGGATCTATGAGGTGGGATCTGTGGGATCCCTGAGATGGGATCTATGGGATCCATGGGGTGGGATCTGTGGGATTCATAAGATGGGATCCATGGGATGGAATCTATGGGATCCATGGCGTGGGACCCATGGGATGGGATCCATGGGACCCATGAGATGGGATCCATGGGGTGGGATCCATGGGATGGGATCTGTGGGATCCATGGGATGGTATCTATGGGGTGGGATCCATAAGATGGGATCCATGGGATCCATGGGGTGGGGTGAGATCTATGGGATCCATGAGATGGGATTCATAAGATGGGATCCATGAGATGGCATCAGTGGGATCCGTGGGGTGGGATCTATGGGATCCATCAGATGGGATCCATGGGATGGCATCTATGGGATGGGACCCATGGGGTGGGATCTATAGGGTGGGATCCATGGGGTGGGATTCATAAGATGGGATCTATGGGATCCATGGGGTGGCATCGATGGAATCTATGGGGTGGGATCCATGGGATGGCATCTGTGGGATCCATGGGATGGGACGGGGAATCCGCAGAACGCCAGGATCAAACTCCATAAACCTTGGGATGGGATCCCATAAACCCTGGGCTCAAACCCTATAGACCCTGGGACTGGATCCCATAACTGCTGGGACTCGATTCCATAAAACCCTGGGATCAGATCCTGCAGGACATGGAACAGAGTGTGGGATCTGACCCGAATTTTCCTGTTTTTCCCATTTTTTACCCCAGAACCAGCGGGACCCCCACGCCCTGGATCAGATATTGTGGGACCCCGTTCCCATTTAGGATCTGACCCCAAATTTCCCGTTTTTCCTGTTTTTTGCCCCAGAACCAGCAGGACCCCACACCCTGGATCAGATATTGCGGGACCCCGTTCCCATTTAGGATCTGACCCCAATTTTCCCGTTTTTTGCCCCAGAACCAGCGGGATCCCCAACACCCTGGATCAGATATTGTGGGACATGGAGCAGAGTGTGGGATCTGACCCCAATTTTTGCTTTTTTTCCCCCAGAACCAGCGGGACCCCCACGCCCTGGATCGCATCCTGCGGGACGTGGAGCAGAGCCGCGATGGCCGCGTCGGCTTCCAGGGCTTCTTCTCGCTGGTGGCCGGGCTGACCATCGCCTGCAACGACTACTTCGTGCAGCACATGAAGCAGCGCGGCCGCCGCTGAGCCCCCCACCCGTGGGTGCCCCCCGCCCACCTATGGGTGCCCCCCCAAACTCGGGGGTGCCACCTCAAACCCGCCTTGGATCCCGTCCCAACCTTAAATGTGTGCCTTGATCCCCCCTTGCCGTCCTGAACCCTCCTGAGGGGCTGAGCCCCCACCCATGGGTGCCCCCCACCCACCCATGGGTGCCCCCCACCTATCCAGGGTGTCACCCCAAAGCTGGGGTGTCACCCCAAACCCACTTTGGATCCTGTCCCAGCACTAAATGTGTGCCTTGATCCCCCCCTTGGGGTCCTGAGCCCACCTGGGGGTCCTGAACCCTCCTGAGGGGCTGAGCCCCCCACCCATGGGTGCCCCCCACCCACCCATGGGTGCCCCCCACCCATCCAGGGTGTCACCCCAAAGCCGGGAGTGCCATCCCAAACCCGCCTTGGGTCCCGTCCCAGCCCTAAATGTCTGCCCTGACTCTGTTTTGGGGTCCCGACCCCCACCCATGGGTGCCGCCACCCACTCGGGACCCCTCAGTGTTCCCCCCCCCCACCCTGGGGTGCTGCCCTGACCCCCCAATAAAGGGGTTTTGTATGAGCCGGGGGTGCTCTGTGTTCTTGGGGTCCCTTTGGGGTTCCTCTCTTTTTGGGGTCCCTTTTGGGGTCCCTTTTGGGGTCCCTTTGGGGATGCTGGGGGCAGTTTGGGACTGTAGGGGGAACTTTTGGGGGATCCCCCTACCCCAAAACTGGGAAATTAGGGTGGTTTGGGGTCCCTGCACCCCAAAATTGAGAAACCCGGGGTCCCCGCACCTCAAAATTGGCAATTCTGGGGGCGCTGCACCCCAAAAACTGAAATTTGGGGTCTCTGCACCCCAAAATTTAACGGTCTGAGGTCCATGAACCCCAAATGTGGGAAATTTGGGATCGCTGCACCCCAAAATTGTGAAATTTGGAGGGTCGGGTGTCCCTGAAGCCCAAAATTAGGAATTTTTGGGGGGCCACCGCACCCCAAAATTGGGAAACTTTTGGGGGGAGCCTATTGGCTCCCGTGCCTGTCACTCAAAGCGGAAGGCGGGCGTTCGCACCTTCCTGCTCTCTGATTGGTTCGCCTCCTCGCTACTCGCCGCTGATTGGCTGCTTTATTCCCGTTATTTCCCGCCCCGCGCGCGTGGGAGGCCTCGCGGGGATTGGCCGCTGCTCCGCGGGCGGTGATTGGGTGCGAGCGGTGCGGCGCTGCGCTGTGATTGGCTACGGGGGGAGGAGCCGCGATGTGATTGGTGGAGAGCGGGAGGAGGCGGGGCCAGCGGCGGGGCGCGGGAGGCGGCGGCGGCACCGGGGCCGCACCGGGCCCGAACCGGGGCCGGGCCCGCACCGGGGCCGGGCCGGGCCGAACCGGGGTCGCTACGGGGCCGGGGGTGGCCTCGGCACCTGCAGGTACCGTGAGGCCACGCGGGGGGCGCGGCACCGGTGGCTGCGGGGGCTCCGCTGCCGCTGCACCGGGCCCGGGGCCTGCACCGGCGCACCCGGAGCCGAACCCACCGTGCGGGTACAGCCGGGGAGGGACGCGGGGGAGTCCCCGGGGTGCGGGGACGCAGCGCGGTGCTCCCGGTGGGCTCTCGGTAACCCCCCGGTAATCCCCGGTAATCCCCGGTAAGGCCCAGCCGGCGATGGCGGGACGCGGCTCCGTGCACAGCCTGAGCAGCCTGCAGAAAACCGCGCTGCTCCTGGGCCTCCCGGCCGCCGCCACCGTGTGCTACATCCTGTACCGGCGCTACCGGGAGAGCCGAGGTGGGTGCGGGGCCGCACCGGGGCCGGGCCTGTCCCTCTGCCGGTACCACCGGGAGCTCCGAGGGGAGCGGGAGGCTGCGGGAGTCGCTTTTCCCACGGGGAATTCCCTTGGCAGCTCCTCAGGGATGTCCCTGTCCCTTTGTGACCCTCTCGGAACCTTTTGGGGACACCTTGGGGACACCCTGGGGACACTTTGGGGACACCTTGGGGACACCCTGGGGACACTTTGGGGACACTTTTGGGGACCCCTTGGAGTCGCTTTTCCCAATGGGAATTCCCTTGTCACTTCCTCAGGGATGTCCCTGTCCCTTTGTGACCCTCTGGGGACCCTTTAGGAGCACCTTGGGGACACTCTGGGGACCTTTTGGGGACACTTTGGGGACCCCTTGGGAAGTGGGGACCTCTTGGAGTCGCTTTTCCCACTGGGAATTCTCTGTGGTCCGGGGGGTGCCAGCCCCTCTGTGACCCCCCTGTGTCCCCCCGTGTCCCCCCCATGTCGTGTCCCTGCTGTCCCCCCCGTGTCCCCAGAGGCGCAGGTGACGCTGGTGGCAGACGAGGGGCTGGAGGTGGCGCTGCGGGTGCCCCGCACGGCCCTGAAGGCGCTGATCGGCCGCCGGGGAGCCACCATCAACCGGGTGGGGACACCGGGACACCGGGGGGACACTGGGGGGGCTGGGGGGACTGGGAGAACTGGGAGCACTGGGGACACCAGGGGAATTGGGAGTACTGGGAGTACTGGGGGAACTGGAAGTACCGGGAGCACTGGGAGCACTGGGAGCAGGGAAACTGGGAGCGCCATGGGAACTGGGGGAACTGGGGACACCAGGGGAACTGGGAGAACTGGGGGTACTGGGAGCACCGAGAGCACTGGGGGTACTGGGGGAACTGGGAGTACTGGGAGAACTGGGGACACCAGGGGAACTGGGAGTACTGGGGGAACTGGGAGCGCCAAGAGCACTGGGGGAACTGGGAGCACTGGGGAACCGGGAGCACTGGGAGCACCGGGAGCACTGGGGGTACTGGGGGAACTGGGAGAACTGGGAACACCAGGGGAACTGGGAGAACTGGGGGTACCGGGGGTACTGGGAGCACTGGGAGAACTGGGGTAACCAGGAGTACCAGAGGAACCGAGAGCACTGGGGGAACTGGGAGAACTGGGGGTACCGAAAGCGCCAAGAGCACTGGGGGAACTGGGAGCACTGGGAGTACCGGGGAGTACTGGGAGAACTGGGAGTACCGGGAGCACTGGGGGAACTGGGAGTACTGGGAGCACTGGGGACACCAGGGGAACTGGGAGCACTGGGGGTGCTGGGGGAACCAGGGAACTGGGAGTACTGGGACAACTGGGAACACCAGGGGAATTGGGAGTACTGGGGAAACTGGGAACACCAGGGGAACTGGGAGTACCAGGAGCACCAGGAGCACTGGGGGAACCAGGGAACCGGGAGCACTGGGAGAACTGGGAACACCAGGGGAACTGGGAGCACTGGGGGAACTGGGAGCACTGGGGAACTGGGAGCACTGGGAGTGCTGGGGGAACCAGGGAACTGGGGGTACTGGGAACACCAGGGGAACTGGGAGTACTGGGAGAACTGGGAGCACTGGGAGCACCAGGGGAATTGGGAGCACTGGGAGCACCAGGGGAACTGGGGGAACTGGGAGTACTGGGAGTACCGAGGGCACTGGGAGAACTGGGAGTGCTGAGTACTGGGAGAACTGGGGACACCGGGGGAACTGGGAATACTGGGAGCGCCGAGAGCACTGGGAGAACTGGGGGAACCAGGGGAATTGGGAGCACTGGGAGCACTGGGGGGACTGTGAGTACCGAGGGCACTGTGGGGACTGGGAGTGCTGAGTACTGGGAGAACCGGGAGCACCGGGAGCACCGGGAGCAGGGAAACTGGGAGTGCCATGGGAACTGGGAGAACTGGGAGTACTGGGGGAACTGGGGACACCAGGGGAACTGGGAGAAGTGGGGGTACTGGGAGCGCTGAGAGCACTGGGGGAACTGGGAGGACTGGGAACACCAGGGGAATTGGGAGCACAGGGAGCACCAGGGGAACTGGGAGTACTGGGAGTACCGGGAGCGTTCTGAAGCACCGGGAGCTCTGGAATCACCGGGAGCACCGGGAACGTTTGGGAGCACCGGGAATGTTTGGAAGCACTGGGAGCACCGGGAACGTTTGGGAGCACCGGGAATGCCGCGTGCCCGCAGCTGAGGCAGGAGACCGGAGCCCAGATCTCGGTGGAGGAGGAGGAGGAGGAGGAGGAGGAGGAGGAGGCCGAGGGCCGGTCCCTGGTGCAGATCTCGGGCTCGCCGGGCCAGGTGTGCCGGGCCAGGGCGGCCGTGCTGCGCATCGTGGCCGACAGCGCGCCCGTGGCCGAGCAGCTGCGGGTACCCCAGAGGGCCGTGGGCAGGATCATCGGTACGGGCACCCCAAATCCTGGGGGGGACTTCCATAGCCACAGGGACACCCCAAAACCTGGGGGGGACTTCCATAGACACAGGGGCACCCCAAATCCCAGGGTACCGAGCAGCTCCATGTGCCCCAGTGGGTTGTGGGCAGGATCATCAGTACAGGGCACCCCAAATCCTGGGGGGAACCCTTCAAATCCTGGGGGGACCGGGGGGGACCCTCCATAGCCACTGGGACACCCCAAATCCCAGGGTACCGAGCAGCTGCGGGTGCCCCAGCGGGCCGTGGGCAGGATCATCGGTACGGGGCACCCCAAATCCCGGGGGTACTGGGGGGGACCCTCCATAGCCACAGGGACACCCCAAATCCTGGGGGGAACCTCCATAGCCACAGGGACACCCCAAATCCTGGGGTACCGATCAGCTGCGGGTGCCCCAGCGGGCCGTGGGCAGGATCATCGGTACGGGCACCCCAAATCCGGGGGGGACCGGGTGGGACCCTCCATTGCCACAGGGACACCCCAAACCTGGGGGGAACCCCAAATCCCAGGGTACCGAGCAGCTGCGGGTACCCCAGCGGGCCGTGGGCAGGATCATCGGTACGGGGCACCCCAAATCCCGGGGGGAATCCTTCATAGCCACGGGGACACCCCAAATCCCGTGGGGAACCCTCCATGGACACAGGGACACCCCAAATCCCAAGGGAACCCCAAATCCTGGGGTACCGAGCAGCTCCATGTTCCCCAGTGGGTTGTGGGCAGGCTCATCGGTATGGGGCACCCCAAATCCCGTGGGGAACCCTTCATAGCCACAGGGACACCCCAAATCCCAAGTGAACCCCAAATCCCAGGGTGCTAAGGAGCTGTGTATGCTCCAGCGGGCTGTGGGCAGGATCATCGGTATGGGGCACCCCAAATCCTGTGGGGAACCTCCTACAACCACAGGGACACCCCAAATCCTGGGGGGAACCCCAAATCCCAGGGTACCAAGGAGCTGCGTGTGCCCCAGCGGGCCGTGGGCAGGATCATCGGTATGGGGCACCCCAAATCCTGTGGGGAACCCTTCATATCCACAGGAACACCCCAAATCCCGTGGGGAACCCTTCATAGCCACAGGGACACCCCGAAACCTGGGGGGGACTTCCATAGACACAGGGACACCCCAAAACCTGGGGAAATCCTCCATAGCCACAGGGACACCCCAAATCCTGTGGGGAACCTCCCATATCCACAGGGGCACCCCAAATCCCGGGGGAACCTCCCATAGCCACAGGGACACCCCAAATCCCGTGGGGAACCCTTCATAGACACAGGGACACCCCAAATCCCAACATAACCCCAAATCCCAGACCCTTTCCCTTCGAGATCCGCCCCTCACCCCCTCTCCCCTCTCCTCCCCACCCGTGTTTCCCCCGGGGGTCCCCTCGGGGCTGTCCCCACGCCCCCAGGCCGCGGCGGGGAGACGGTTCGGGGCATCTGCCGGAGCTCGGGGGCACGAGTGGAGTGCGGCCACGAGGGCGACGCCGGCCTGGCCCCGCTGCGCCTCATCCGCCTGCTGGGGACGCGCAAGGAGGTGGAGGCGGCCAAGGTGAGCACGGCTGGAGGGGTTTGGGGGTGCTCAGAGCCCCCAGAACCTTCCTCATCATCATCTTCATCATCCTCTCCGTGGGTAGAAGCTGATCATGGAGAAGCTGGCGGAGGACAAGGCGTTCCGCCGGGAGCTGGCGGCGGCGGCGGCCGCCCGGTGCCCGCGGAAACAACCCCTGGGCAGCCGCCGGGAGCCGCCCCCGGGGCCTCCCCCCGGTGCTCCCGGCAGCCCCGGGGGCTGGCAGGAGTGCTGGGACACCGACTGGGCACCGGCGGCGGGCGGCGAGGGCGCGGAGCCGGCGGCTGAGGGCGAGGAGCCGCCCGCGGGCAAGTTCGAGGGTGAGTCCCGCTGGGGACGGAGTTCTGGGGGGTTCGGGGGGTGACGAGGGGTTCTGAGAGGGGTTGGGGGGATTTCGGGGTTCCCCCGTGCTGAGGTTGTCCCGGTGGGATTTCGGGTGGATTTAGGGGGGATTTCGGGTGGATTTCAGTGATTTTGGGGTTCCCCCGTGCTGAGGTTGTCCCGGTGGGATGTCGGGTGGATTTCGGGGGGATTTCAGTGGATTTCGGTGATTTCGGGGTTCCCCCGTGCTGTGGTTGTCCCGGTGGGATTTCGGGTGGATTTCAGTGGATTTTGGGTGGATTTCAGTGGATTTCCAGTGGATTTCCAGTGGATTTCAGGTAGATGTCAGTGGATTTTGATGGATTAGATTTCAGTGGATTTTGGGTGGATTTCAGTGGGTTCCAGATGGATTTCAGTGGATCTCAGGTGGATTTCAGTGGATTTTGGTGGATTTCATTGGATTCCAGGTAGATCTCAGGTGGATTCCAGGTGGATTTCAGTGGATTCCAGGTAGATTTTCGTGTATTTCAGTGGGATCCAGGTGGATCTCAGATTTGAGTTCCAGGTAGATATCAAATGGATTTCAGTGGATCCCAGGTAGATCCCAGGTAGATTTTAGTGGATCCCAGGTAGATTTCAGTGGATTCCAGGCAGATCTCAGGTGGATTTCAGTGGGTTCCAGGTAGATTTCAGCAGATCCTGGGTAGATCCCAGGTAGATCCCAGCGGATCCAAAGGTGGATCCAAGCGGATCCCAGGTAGATCTCAGGTGGATTTAAGTGGATTTCAGCATCTCCCAGGTAGATCCCAGCAGCTCCCAGGTGGATCCCAGGTAGATCCCAGCAGATCACAGTGGATCCCAAGTAGATCCCAGCGGATCCCAGACAGATCCAGGTCCATTTTCCCCCCCTGGGGTTCCCGCAGTGCCCAGCCCGGATTTCAGCTTCCCGGTGGACGAGCACCTGGACGTGTACGTGTCTGCGGCCGAGAGCCCCGGGCGCTTCTGGGTGCAGCTGCTGGGCGCCCGCAGCCTGCAGCTGGACAGGCTGACGGCCGAGATGGGCCACTTCTACCGCAGCAGCGCCCCGGTGCGTCCCCTCTGGGTCCCCTCAGTGTCCCCTCAGGGTCCCCTCAGTGTCCCCTCAGTGTCCCCTGGGTCCCCTCAGTGTCCCCTGTGTCCTCTCAGTGTCCCCCCTGTGTCCCAGCACTGGGAATGTTCGTGGCCAAGATGGGCCACTTCTATCACAGCAGCCCCTCAGTGCGTCCCCTCTGTCACCTCTGTGTCCCCTCGGTGTCCCCTGTGTGTCCCAGCACTGTCCCCATCCTCACCGTCTTCTCATCCCCCAGCACTGTCCCCTCCATATCCCCACGACTGTCCCCATGTCCCCACCATGTCCCAGTACTGTCCCCTGTGTCCCCATGTCCCTCCTGTCCCAGCACTGTCCCCACCGTGTTTCCCTCAGCCCCATCCCCATGTCCCCTCCTGTCTCAGCAGTGTCCCCACCATGTCCCCCTGATTGTCCTCATGTCCCTCCTGCGTCCCGACTGTCCCCATGTCCCCACCATGTCCCAGCACTGTCCCCACCATGTCCCTTACCCCCGTCGCCATGTCCCTACAATGTCCCTTACCCTCATCCCATGTCCCCTCCTGTCCCAGCACTGTCCCCTCCATGTCCCCATGACTGTCTCCATGTCCCCACCATGTCCCTTACCCCATCCCCATGTCCCTCTGTGTCCCCATGTCCCCTCCTGTCCCAGCACTGTCCCCACCATGTCCCCATGTCCCTCTGTGTCCCAGCACTGTCCCCACCATGTCCCTCACCCCCATCCCATGTCCCCACCATGCCCCAGCACTGTCCCCTGAGTGTCCCCGTGCCCCAGCGCTGTCCCCTGCGTGTCCCCGTGCCCCAGCGCTGTCCCCTGAGTGTCCCCGTGTCCCCAGGTGCCACCCCCGTCGCTGCAGCCCGGGGACATCGTGGCCGCTCCGTACCTGGCCGGCGGCGAGTGGTGCCGTGCGCGTGTCCTGGGCCCGCTGGACAACGGCCACCTGGGGCTGTCCTACGTGGACTTTGGGGACAGCGGCGAGGCGCCCCCCGAGGCGCTGCGGGCCCTCAGGTGTGGCAGGGGGTGGCACTGTCCCCTGGGGGTGTCCCTGTCCCCGGCAGTGCCACCCTCACCGTGTCCGTGTCCTCGCAGGAGCGACTTCCTGAGCCTGCCCTTCCAGGCCATCGAGTGCAGCCTGGCCGGGATCGTCCCCAGCGGTGAGCGGGACACGGGGACACGGATGGCACCTCCTGGGGGGGACACGGCTGGCACCTCCTGGGGGAGGGGGGGACACGGCTGGCACCTGGGGGTGGCACCTGGCTCTGTCAGAAGGGTGGGACACGGCTGGCACCTGGGGGAGGACACGGCCCTGTCACCTCCTGGGGGTGGGACATGGCTGTCACCTGGGGTGGGGCATGGCTGGCACCTGGGGGGGACACGGCTGTCTGTCACCTGGGGTGGGACACGGCCCTGTCACCTCCAGGGGTGGGACACGGCCTTGTCACCTGAGGTGGGACACGGCTGGCACCTGGGGGGGACACGGCTGTCACCTCCTGGGGGTGGGACACGGCCTTGTCACCTCCTGGGGGTGGCACATGGGTCTGTCACCTCCTGGGGGTGGCACACGGCCTGTCCCTGTGTCACAGCTGTCCCCATGTCCCCGTGTCCCCCAGGTGGCCGCTGGCCCGTGCTGGCCCTGTGAGAGTTCCTGTGTCCCTGTGTCCCTGTGTCACACAGCTGTCCCCTTGTCCCCATGTCACACAGCTGTCCCCAAATGTCCCCAGGTGGCCGCTGGCCGACCGCAGCCCTGCGGGAGTTCCTGTGTCCCTGTGTCCCCATGTCCCCGTGTCACACGGCTGTCCCCATGTCCCCGTGTCACATGGCTGTCCCCGTGTCACACAGCTGTCCCCATGTCCCCAAATGTCCCCCAGGTGGCCGCTGGCCAGCCGCAGCGCTGCGGGAGTTCCTGTGTCCCTGTGTCCCATGTCACAGAGCTGTCCCCATGTCCCACAGCTGTCCCCGTGTCACACAGCTGTCCCCATGTCACACAGCTGTCCCCATGTGTCCCCAGGTGGCGGCTGGCCGGCCCCGGCGCTGCAGGAGTTTGTCCGTCTGTCGGGCTGCGCTCGCTGGGCGCCGCTGCGGGCGCAGATCTGCAGCTACGGCCCCGCCGGGCCCCGCCTGCGCCTCTTCGGCCGCCGCGGGCACGGACAGGTGTGTGTCACTGTGTCACCGAGTGTCCCCAAATGTACCCACGGCCACGGACAGGTGTGTCACTGTGTCACCGTGTCCCCAAATGTCACCAAATGTCACCATGTGTCCCCATGGCCACGGACAGGTGTGTCACTGTGTCACCAATGTCACCAAATGTACCCATGTGTCCCCATGGCCACGGACAGGTGTGTCACCGTGTCACCAAGCGTCCCCAAATGTCCCCAAATGTCCTCACAGCCACGGACAGGTGTGTCCCCAAGTGTCCCCAATGTCCCCATGGCCACAGACAGGTGTGTCACCAGTGTCTCCAAATGTCCCCAATGTCCCCAAGTGTCCCCACAGCCACGGACAGGTGTGTCACCAAATGTCCCCAATGTCCCCATGGCCACAGACAGGTGTGTCACCAGTGTCCCCAAATGTCACCAGTGTCCCCAAATGTACCCACAGCCACGGACAGGTGTGTCACCAAATGTCACCAATGTCCCCATGGCCACAGACAGGTGTGTCACCAGTGTCTCCAAATGTCCCCAATGTCCCCAAGTGTCCCCATGGCCACGGACAGGTGTGTCCCCAAATGTCCCCAGGTGTCCCCAGTGTCCCCAGTGTCCCCATGGCCACGGACAGGTGTGTCACCGTGTCACCAGTGTCCCCAAATGTCCCCAAGTGCCCCCAGGTGTCTCCAAATGTCCCCATGGCCACAGACAAGTGTGTCCCCAAATGTCCCCAAGTGTCCCCAGTGTCCCCACGGCCACTGACAGGTGTGTCACCATGTCACCAAGTGTCCCCAAGTGTCCCCAAGTGTCCCCAGCTGTCCCCGTCGCTGTCCCCGCAGAGCCTGGACGTGGGAGCTGAGCTGGTGCGTTTGGGCTACGCCGTTCCCGGGCCCCCCGAGGAGCCCCCGGTGAGCTGCTCCCGGTGTCCCCTCCCGGTGTCCCCTCCCGGTGTCCCCCCGGTGTCCCCCCCCGGTGCCGGTGTCCCGGAGGTCTCACCCCGCTTTTCCCGGGCAGGACAATCTCGGCTGTGCCTCCCCCCCGAGCCCACCGGAGCCCGGGGACAGCCCCGGGACGCCGTCGTGCCTCGGTGAGCCCGGTGCCGCCGTTCCGGTACCGCCGTTCCCGGTGTGTCCCTCTCCCTGCCCCGCCAACGCTGCCGGGACGCCGCTGACCCTTCCCGCTCCCGCAGCCGCCGCCGCCGTGCCCGGGGATGCCGTCACGGTCACCTGAAGCTGCCCGGTGCTACCGGGAGCCGCTCCCGGTGACCCCATCACGGGGACCGGAGCGGTCCCGGTGCCAGCCCTGCCTGCAGCCCCCTCGGCGGAGCACTCCGGGAGGCCGGACCGGCAAAGCGCGGGGATCTCCGCTTGTGCCTCTCGTCGGGACGCGCCACACCGGCACCGAGAACCGCCGGTGCCCCTTCCGTTACCGGGAGGTTCCCGTTACCCTCCCGGTTCCCTCGCCTTGTTTTGCTGTTCCGTTGCACTGACGGTGGTTGTGAGTTTAATAAAGTTGAAGGTTTCGCAGCGCTCCGTCCCCGGCGGGCACCGGGCGCAGGCGCGGCGCGGGCAGCCCCCGGTGGGGTCCTGGCGGTGCGGCGCGGTTTGCGCAGGCGCGGCGCGGGCAGCCCCCGGCGGGGTCCTCGCGCTCCGGTGCGGCGCGGTCTGCGCAGGCGCGGCGCGGGCAGGGGGCCGCCATGTTGGCACCGGGAGCGGCGGGACGGGCGCTGAGCCGGGCCCTGGGCCTGGGCGGGCCGGGGGCGCCGGGGCGGGCGCTGAGCCTGAGCCACGGCCCGGTAACGGCGGGGGCAGCGGGAGTGGCGGGGGCCGGTACCGGGGAGCGGTACCCGGGGTCGGTACCGGGGTCGGGACGGGCTCTGAGCCAGGCCCGGGCGGCCCCGGGGATGGGCGGGCGGGAGTTGGGCCGGGGTCGGTAGCGGGGCCGGTGGGACGGGCCCTGAGCCGGCCCCGTAACCCCGGTATGGAACCGTATAGATCCTATAGACCCCATAGCCCCGGTATGGAACCGTATGGATCCTATAGCCCCGGTATGGAACCGTATGGATCCTATAGCCCCGGTATGGAACCGTATGGAGCCCCATAGACCCCATAGATCCGTTATAAAACCCTATAGACCCCATAGACCCGGTATGGAACCGTATAGACCCGGTATGGAACCGTATGGATCCTATAGACCCCGGTATGGAACCATAGACCCCATAGACCCGGTACAGAGCCCTATAGACCCCATAACCCGGTATGGACCCCTATAGATCCTATGGACCCCATAACCCGGGTATGGAACCCCATAGACCCCATAGACTCGGTATAGAACCGTATGGATCCTATAGACCTCATAACCCCGTTACAAAACCCCATAGACCGTATAGACCCCATAAGCCTCGTATGGAACCCTATAGACCCTCATAGACCCTGTTGTAAAACTCTAGAGACCCCATAACCCCGGTATGGAACCCCATAGATCCCATAGACCCGGTATGGAACCATATGGATCCTATAGGCCCCATAACCCCGTTATAAAACCCCATAGACCCTATAGGCCCCATAACCCCGTTATAAAACCCCATAGACCCCATAACCCCGGTATGGAACTATATGGATCCCATAGACCCCATAACCCTGGAATGGAACCCCATAGATCCCGGTATGGAACCATATGGATCCTATAGCCCCGGTATGAAACTATATGGATCCTATATACCCCATAACCCCGTTATGGAGCCCCATAGACCCTATAGAACCCATAACCCCGGTGCCCATTCATTCCCATGGCACATTCTGGAACTTTCCCTCCCCAGGGCTTGGTGGTGGTGCAGTCGGTGCCCGGTGCCCGTTCGCTGGCACATTCCGGAATGTTCTGCCCGTGTTCCCGGTGCCCGTTCCCCGGCACATTCCGGAACTTTCCCTCCCCAGGGCTCGGTGCCCGGTGCCCGTTTCCCTGGCACATTCCGGAACCTTCCATCCCTCAGGGCTTGGTGGTGGTGCCCGTTTCCTGGCACATTCTGGAATGTTCTCCCCGTGTTCCCGGTGCCCATTCCCTGGCACATTCCGGAACCTTCCATCCCCTTTAGGCCTCGGTGGTGGTGGAGCGCGTGTGGCCGGTGCCCGTTCCCTGGCACATTCCGGAACGTTCTCCCCGTGTACCCGGTGCCCGGTGCCCGTTCCCCGGCACATTCCGGAATGTTCTCCCCTCAGGCCTCGGTGGTGGTGGAGCGTGTGTGCCCGGTGCCCGGTGCCCGTTCCCCGGCACATTCTGGAACCTTCCCTCCCCAGGCCTCGGTGGTGGTGGAGCGCGTGTGGCCGGTGCCGCTGGGCCGGGCGGGCGCGGTGCCCCGGTTGCAGCCGCGGCGGCACCGCGTGTTCCGGCTGCTGCGGGACGGGAAGCACCGGCCCCGGGGAGACATGGAGCTGCTGCTGAGCCGCGCCGTGCAGGGTGAGTGATAACGGGAGTAACGTGCCAGTCCCGGGAATTCTGTGCTCATTTTTGTCCCCCCCCAACCCAAAAATTCCATGGAATTCCTGTGAAACTCACGGAATTCCCGTTTAATTCCATGGAATTCCCTTGGGATGGACCCCACACCGTTCCACGGGGGGTGGGGCTGACATTTTCCAGCATTCCCAGCTGAGTTTTCCCTCCCAAACCCAACAATTCCATGGAATTTCTCTTCCATTCCGTTGAATTTTTTGGATCGTTTTCCCCCGTTTTGGGCCGGACCCCTCCGAGCTGCCGCGGGATTTGGGATTTTCCAAAATTGGGATTTAGGAGGGGAAATGGAGGGGAAATGGGGAAAAAAATGGGATTGAGGAGGGGAAATGGGGAAAAAAATGGGATTTAGGAGGGGAAAAAATTGGGATTGAGGAGGGAAAATGGGGGAAAACGGGGATTTATGAGGGAAATGGGAAAAAAATTGAGATTTAGGAGGGGAAATGGGGGAAAAAGGGGATTTAGATGGGGAAATGGGGAAAATGGGATTTAGGTGGCGAAATGGTGAAAAAATTGAGATGTAGGAGGGGAAATGGGAAAAAAAATGGGGTTTAGGTGGGAAAAAAATTGGGATTTAGGTGGGGAAAAAATTGGGATTTAGGTGGGGAAAAATTGGGATTTAAGAGGGGAAAAATTGGGATTTAGGTGGGGAAAAAATTGGGGATTTTTCCCGGCGTTCCCGGGTGAGTTTTCCCGGTTTTCCCTGGCAGATCTGGGCGGCCGCGGGGACGTGGTGAGCGTCAGGAAGAGCCTGGGCAGGAACAAACTCCTGGCCCAGGGCCTGGCCGTGTACCCCAGCCCGGAGAACCTGCGCCACTTCCAGCAGGAGAAGGAGGTCAGCCGGGAAAAAAACAGGAAAATCCAGGAAAAAAACAGGAATTGGGCTCGAAGGGCTCTTTGGGATCAGCCCATGTGCCTTTTTAAGGGGATTTTTTGGGGATTTTTGGGATGGGAGCTGGTGGTTTTTTTGGGAGTGCAATCCTGAGGTGAGGCTTGATCCTTAAAAAACTCCTTTGGGGAGCCTCAATCCCTAAAAAAATTTCATTTGGGGAGCCTCAATTCCTAAAAAAATTCCTTTGGGATGAGGGGTGGACCCTCCTGGCCGTGCCAGCCACGATTCCTGTCCCGTTCTCCTCCTCCATCCCTGAGTTTTTCCCCTTTTTTTCTCCTCAATCCTTGTTTTTCCCATTTTTCATCAAGCTCTTTTCCTCCCATTTCTTTTCCTCAATCCCCGTTTTCCCCGTTTATCTTTATAAATCCCATTTTCCCCTCATTTTTCTCCTCTCAATCCCATTTTTTGCCTCCTAAATCTCTTTTTTTCCCCCTTTTTTCCTCATTTTTCCCCATTTTCCTTCCTAAATCCCAATTTTTCCCCCCATTTTCCCTTCTCAATCCCGTTTCCCCCATTTCCCTCCTCAATCCCATTTCCCCTCCTAAATCCCAATTTTCCCCCCATTTCCCCTCCTAAATCCCAATTTTTCCCCCCATTTCCCATCCTCAATCCCATTTCCCCCCCATTTTCCCCCCATTTTCCCTTCTCAATCCCACTTTCCCCCATTTTCTCAATCCCATTTCTCCCCAAATTCCCATTTCCCCATTTCCTCTCCTAAATCCCACTTTTCCCCCCATTTTTCCCCCATTTCCTCAATCCCACCCCCCCAAATTCCCATTTTCCCATTTCCCTCCAGCTGGCTCAGCAGGGGAAGCTGGACGAGCCCCAAACCCTGAGCGGGCAGAAGGTGAGCTGGGATTCCCCCATCCCAAAAACCCCAAAATCCCGGGAACTCCCCCCGATCCCGGCTCCCATTCCCGCTTTTCCAGACCCTGGAATTCCTGCGGCGCTGCCGGCTCGAGGTGGGGATGAAGAACAACCAGAGCTGGGAGCTCAGCCCCGACATCGTGGCCCGGCACTTCCTCAAGAACGTGAGCGGGGTTTTGGGGCCCTTTTGGGGTTTTGGGGCCCTTTTGGGGTTTCGGGAACTTTCCCCATTCCCGAGCTCGAATCCCAAAGTTTGGGGTCATTCCCGAAGGATTTGGGGGATTCGGGCCAGCCCTGATCTTGGGATTTGGGGTGGCCCCCTGGTTTTGGGGTCATTTCTGAGTTTTGGGGCCATTTTGGGGCTGTTCCTGGGATTTGGGGCCGTTTCCAGGATTTGGGACCATTTCTGGGTTTCGGGGCCATTCCTGGAATTTTGGGGCTCTGAGTTTTGGGACCATTTCTGGGTTTTGGGGCCATTCCTGGGATTTTAGGGCTGTGGGTTTTGGGGTCATTTCTGGGATTTGGGGTGGCTCCCTGGTTTGGGGGTGATTTCTGGGATTTGGGGTCACTCTCATTCCATTGGGGTTTGGGATCATTCCCGTGGTTTGGGGTAGTTCCAGGGATTTGGGGCCATTTCTGGGATTTGGGGTCATTCCCAAAGGGTTGGGGGGGCTCTACCCTGCCTCTCTTCCTGGGATTTGGGGGTGCAATCCCAGGATTTGGGGTGCAATCCCAGGATTTGGGGTGAAATCCCAGGATTCTGGGTTCCCTCCGCAGCTGGGGGTGTTTGTGCCCCCCCACGCGCTGCGCCTGCCCCCGGAGCCGATCACGCGCTGGGGCAGCTTCTGGTGCGATGTCACGGTGAGGGACCCTGCTCCCCATTTCCCTCCTCATTTCCTCCCATTTCCTCCTCATTTCCCCCAATTTCCCCCTCATTTCCTTCCTCTTTCCCCCAATTTCCTCCCCATTCCCCCATTTCCCTCCTCTTCCCCCATTTCCTCCCCATTTCCTCCCCATTTCCCCTCATTTCCCCCCATTTCCTTTCTCTTCCTCCCCATTTCCCTCCTCTTCCTCCCGACTTCCTCCCCATTTCCTATTTCCCCTCATTTCCTCCCCATTTCGCTCCCTCTTCCTCCCCATTTTCTCCCCATTTCCTCCCTCCCCATTTCCTCCCCATTTCCTCCTCATTTCCCCTCATTTCCTTCCTCTTTCCCCCAATTTCCTCATTTCCTCCCCGTTCCCCCCAATTTCCTTCCTCTTTCCCCCTTTTTCCTTCCCATTTCCCCCTCATTTCCTCCCCATTTCCCCTTCCCCTTTCTCCCCGTTTCATTGGGGTGATCCGGGGGATTTTGGGGTTAAATAGGGGATTTTGGGGGCTCCGTGGGCTGGTTTTGGGGTGCCAGGTGAACAGGCGGGACACGGAGCCGGTGGTGCCCTGTGGGTGTTTTTGGGGTGGTTTTGGGGTGTTTTGGGGCTGGCTCAGGTGGTTTTGGGGTGGTTTTGGGGTGACTGAGGTGTTTTAGGTGTGGTTTTGAGGTGGCTCGGGTGTTTCTGGGGTCTATTTGGGGTGACTTGTGTGGTTTTGGGGTGGTTTTGGGGTGGTTTGGGGTGTTTTTTGGGGTGCCAGGTAAACGGGCTGGACATGGTGCAGGTGCCCATGGCTGTGGTGCCCCGGGGGTGTTTTTGGGGTGACTCGGGGGTTTTTGGGGGTTTTTTGGGGTGTTTTTGGTGTGACTCGGGTGTTTTTGGGGTGTTTTTTGGGGTGCCAGGTGAACGGGCTGGACACGGTGCGGGTGCCCATGGCCGTGGTGCCCCGGGGATGTTTTTGGGGTGTTTTTGGGGTGACTGGGGTGTTTTTTGGGGTGCAGGTGAACGGGCTGGACACGGTGCGGGTGCCCATGGACGTGGTGCAGTTCCTGCACCCCAAAACCAAACGCTTCCGGCACTGGCGGCAGCAGCAGCAGCAGCAGCTGGAGAACAGCCGGGAGCGCCTCCTCTGACCCCCCCCGGGAATTTGGGGTCCCCCCCGAGGGATTTGGGGTCCTCAGAATGGATTTGGGGTCCCCAGGATGGATTTGGGGTTCCCCGGGATGGATTTTGGGGGTCCCCGGGATGGATTTGGGGTCCCTGGAATGGATTTGGGGTCCCCAGGATGGATTTGGGGGTCCCCACAATGGATTTGGGGTCCCCAGAATGGATTTGGGGTCCTGGGATGGATTTTGGGAGTCCCATCTGTGGGGTCTGGAGCAGGAATCCCCCCAGAAAAGGGGGACCAGGAATTTTGGGGGGGTCCCAGGAGATTTTTTGGGGTGTCTCGGGAGTTTTGGGAGCTGCAGGATTTGGGGGAAAAAAGAAAAAAAAAAGGAAAAAAGGGAATTTTGGGATCCGAATTTGGGTGTCGGGAGTGAATTTTTGGGGGAAGCCCCTCGGCCAGGTGTCCCCAAAGTGTCCCCAAAGTGCCACCACGGGGTGTCCCCAAAATGTCCCCAAGTGCCACCAGGGAGGGGTCCCCAAAGTGTCCCCAAAGTGCCACCACGGGGTGTCCCCAAAGCCACCTGCCCCAAAAGAGGGGTCCCCCCACCTGCCCCGTGTCCCCAAAGTGCCACCATGGGGTGTCCCCAAAGCCACCCCCGGTGTCCCCCCCGGTGTCACCCCTCGGGAAGGGGGGGGGGTGGCGGTGCCACCTCGGCTGTCACCGACTCGTTGCTGTGACAACCGGGGGGACACGGGGACAGCGGGATGGGGAGGGAGGGGACACGGGGGGGGGGGGACATCGAGCTGGGGACACCGAGGGGGTGACACCGGGGGGGTGACACCGAGGGGAGGGGGCGTGGCTGACTTCAGCACCGGGGACAGCACCGGGAGGCGACAGTGACACGGGGGGGGTGGGGGGGGGGGGGGGACACGCGTGGGCGGACACCGGAGCCCCTCCCCCCCCCCCCCGGTGTCCCCTCCGCGCGTGCGCGCGGGAGCGGCCCCGGGCCCCGCCCCCTCCCCAAAAATCCCCCCCCCCCCCCCCCCCACCGCCCCCGGGTCCGGGCGGGGCCGTTACCGGAGCCCGGGACCCCCTCCCGGTGCCCGGTGCCGGTGTCGGTGTCGGTCCCGGTTCCGAGCGCCCTCTCCCCGCTCCCCGGTTCGCAGTCCCGGTGCTGTCGCCGCTGCCCCGTATCCGGTGCTCCGGTGCCGGTAGCCGGTTCCCAGAGCCCCGGTCCCGGGCTCCGGGTCCCGCTGTTGTCGCCGGTGCCGGTGCCCGGCAGCCAGAACCCCGCGCCCCGGTGCCGGTGCCCGGTTCCCGTCGCCGGTTCCCAGTTCGCCGTCCCCGGTGTCGTCGCCGGTGCCGGTCCCCGGTGCCGCTCTGACATCAGCACCGGGCGGGGCGGGGCGGGGCGGCTCCAACCGGGGAAGAAAAGCATCTCCCGGTGCCGATCCCGGTGCCGGTACCCGGTACCCGGTGCCGCCGGCCCAGCGGGCGGGGCGGGGGAGGCTCGGTCACCACCGGGGCTCTCGGGAACCGGCGGCCTCCGCGGCCGCCATGCACCGAACCGGGCGTTGAGCTCCCCCCGCCCCCCGCCCGGTACCGGGACCCTCCCCGAGGCCACCGGGGCGGTACCGGCGGGGCGGGCGCTCGCAGCATCCAGCGGGATTTTGGGGAGCAGCACCGGGGAACGGCCGGGACTCACCGGGAGCGCCGCCCCCCGGGCAGAGCTGCCCCCGCCCCGCCGCGCCCCGTCCCCGGAGCCGAGCCGAGCCCCGGGGCCGCCTCGTCCTTTGTGTGCGCCGGGGCACCGGGCACCGCCGGCAGCAGCGGGAGCCGAGCCCGGGCGGGGATCGCGGGGAGCGGGAGCGGCCCCGGGGCCCGGGGACCCCCCGGCGGCCCCATGAAGGAACCGGACGCCATCAAACTCTTCGTGGGGCAGATCCCGCGGCACCTGGAGGAGAAGGACCTGAAACCCATTTTCGAGCAGTTCGGGAAGATCTACGAGCTCACCGTCATCAAGGACAAGTACACCGGCATGCACAAAGGTGATTCACCGGGAACCGGCCACCGGGGATGGCCGCGGGAAACCGCACCGGGCAGCGGGGATGGGGCACGGACAGCGGGCACGGCCCCGGGCGGCGCGGGTGGGTGCGGGGCACGGGCAGCGGGTGTGGGGACAGCCCCGGGATTCGGCCGCCGGTACCGGGAACGGCCCCGGGATGTGGCCCTCGGTACCGGGAATGGCCCAAAATACCGGGATTAGCCTCAGGATGTGGCCCCCGGTACCGGGATCAGCCTCAGGATGTGGCCCCCGGTAGTGAGAATGGCCCCCGGTACCGGGATTAGCCCCGGGATGTGGCCCTCGGTACCGGGATCAGCCCCAAATACCGGGAACGGCCCCAAATACCGGGATTAGCCTCAGGATGTGGCCCCCGGTACTGAGAATGGCTCCCGGTACCGGGATTAGCCCCAGGATGTGGCCCTCGGTACCGGGATCAGCCCCAAATACTGGGATTAGCCTCGGGATGTGGCCCCCGGTACCGGGATCAGCCCCGGGATGTGGCCCCCGGTACCGGGATCAGCCCCAAATACCGGGATTAGCCTCAGGATGTGGCCCCCGGTACCGGGATCAGCCCCGGGATGCGCCCCCCCCCCCGTACTGAGAGCAGCCGCCGGTACCGGGAATGGCCTCGTGATGTGGCTCCTGGCACCGGGAACGGCCCCAGGATAAGGCCCCGGTGGTGGGAACAGCCCCCGGTACCGGGAACAGCTCCCAGGATGAGAAACAGCCCCGGGATCCGGGCCCCGGTTTTGGGAATGGCCCCAGATACCGGGAGCAGCTCCGGGTACCCCGAAGAGCCCCGGGAGAAGGCCCCCGGTACCGGGAGCGGCCTTGTGATACGGCTCCCGGTACCGGGAATTGCCCCCAGTACCGGGAATTGCCCCGGGATGTGGCCCCCAGTACCGGGAACAGCCACGAACACCGGGAATGGCCCCGGGATACAGCCCCGGTACCGGCACAGCCCCGTGCCACGGCCTCCAGCACCAGGAACAGCTCCCGGTACCGGGAACAGCTCCCAGCACCGGGAACGGCCCCTGTGACACAGCCCCGGGACCGGGAACAGCCCCGGGATGGGGTCCCCGGGACTGGGAACGGCCACCGGCACCGGGGACAGCCCCACAAACGGTACCGGGCACAACCGAGGGCACCGGGAACAGCCCCACAAACAGCCCCGGGTACAACCGAGGGCCCCGGTAACGGGAACAGCTCCCGGTAACCGGAACAGCCCCGGCACTGGGAACCACTCCAGATCCAACCCCCGGTACCGGGAACAGCCCCACAAACGGTACCGGGTACAACCGAGGGCACCGGGAACAGCCCCCGGTACCGGGAACAGCCCCAGTACAGCCAAAGGCCTTGAGCAACACCCACAGCTCAACCTACAGCCGCAGGCCCCGGGTACAGCCCCGGTACCGGGAACAGCCCCGGGAACAGCCGAGGGCACCGGGAACAGCCCCGGGTACAGCCCCGGTACCGGGAACAGCTGCGGCCCCCCAGCCCAGCCTGGCTACCCCGTGTCAGGGTGTTGTACCCCGAGTGTTGGGGGTGGGGGCGGCTGTGCGGCCACGGGCCGGGCGGGGGTTGTGTCAGGTGTGGGGTGTTGTACCAGGGTGTTGTGGGGTGAGGGAGTGGGGGCTGTTGTTGTCAGGCGGTTGTTGTTGGGGTGTCGTTGCTGGGGTGTCGTTGCTGGGGTGTTGGGGTGTTGCTGTTTTTCGGGTGTTGTTGGGCTGTTGCTGTTCGGGTGCTGTTTGGGTGTTGTTTTAGGGGTGTTGTTGTCTGGTGTTGTTTTAGGGGATGTTGTTGGGCTGTTGTTCAGGTGTTGTTGTCGAGGTGTTGTTCAGGTGTTGTTGTTTGGGTGTTGTTTTTCGGGTGTTGTTGAGGGTTTGTTGTTGTTCGGGTGTTGTTGGGCTGTTGTTTTTGGGGTGTTGTGCCAGGCGGGTGCGGTGGTGCCCAGCGCCACCGGCTGTTGTCTCGGGGTGCCCGGCGGGTGTTGGGTGTCACGTGGGTGCTCCTCCAGGTGACACCCAGCCCTGGGGGAGTTGGGGTGTTGTGTCAGGGGCTGGGTGTCAGGGTGTTGTTTGGGGGTGTTGGGGTGTCATCGGTTCCGGGTGTAGTTTTGGGGGTCCGGGTGTTGTTTTTGGATATCTGGGTGTTGTTTTTGGATGTCCGGGTGTTGTTTTTGGGTGTCCAGGTGTAGTTTTGGATGTCTGGGTGTTGTTTTTGGATGTCCAGGTGTCGTTTTGGGCTGTCCGGGTGTCATTTTGGGTGTCCAGGTGTTGTTTTGGGCTGTCCGGGTGTAGTTTTGGGGTGTTGTGTCTGTTCTCGGCGTGTCACGTGCTCACCTGGGTGTCCCTGGGGGTGACCCCGGTGCTGGGGGTCCCTGGGGGGGTTTGGGGGTGTCCCCAACACCCGGGGGGGTCCCGGAGTCCCCCCAAACCCCCGACACCGACTGTACCGGAACTGGGGGGGGGTCTCCAGGGGTCCTGGGGGTGTCAGTTGAGGGGGTGTCAGTGCCCCCAAAATGTGGGGTCTGGGGGCTTTGGGGGGGTCTGGGGGTTATTTGGGGTCTTTGAGGGGATTTGGGGTCTCTGGGGGTTATTTGGGGTCTCTGGGGGATTTGGGGCCTCTGGGGGGGGATTTGGGGTCTATGGGGGGGGATTTGGGGTCTCTGGGTTTTTTTGGGGGGTCTCTGGGGGTTATTTGGGGTCTCTGGGGGTTCTTTGGTGTCTGTGGGGCTGGGGGTGTTCTGGGGGGGTTCCCGTTACTTTTGGGGCGCTCTGACCACTCCAGACCCTCAGTGTCACCTCGGGCGGGGGGTGAGGACACTTTGGGGGTGCCCCCCAACACCCCCCGACCCCTTTTTTCCCCTCCCCTCCCCAGGATGCGCCTTCCTGACCTACTGCGCCCGCGAGTCGGCCCTGAAGGCCCAGAGCGCCCTGCACGAGCAGAAAACGCTGCCGGGGGTGAGTGGGGGGCGTGGGGACCCCCCCGGGACACCCCCAAATCCCCCCCAACCCGCGACACCCCAACATCCCCCGGAAAGCCCCGAAAAATCCCACCCAGACCCCCAAAATCACAGCGAAAGCCCTTAAAAATCACCTGTAAACCCCCCAAAAATCAACCCTAAAAACCATCCTGAGACCCCGCAAAAATCACCCTGAAATCCCCCAAAAATTAACCCTAAAAATCATCCTGAGGCCACCCAAAAGTCAGCTATAAACCCCCCAAAAATCACCCTGAAATCCCCCAAAATCACCCCCAAAAATCACCCCAAAAATCATCCTGAGGCCACCCAAAAATCACCTATAGGGCCCCCAAAAATCATCCTGAGACCCCTCCCCAAAAATAACCCTGAAATCCCCCAAAATCACCCCTAAAAAAATCACCCTGAGACCCCCCAAAAATCCCCTATAGGGCCCCCCAAAATCACCTATAAACCCCTCAAAAATCACCCCGAAATTCCCCAAAATCACCCCGAACACCTGCGGGTGTTTAATTAGCGCCGCTAATGAGGGCCGGGCGCTAATGAAGCGCGGGAGACAACAAAGCCCGGGCTGGGGGGGGGGGGATTTTGGGGGGGTCCATGTGCCCCCCACCCCCAATTCATTACTGGGGGGGTCCCACCTCCTAATCCTGATTTTTGGGGGGTTTTGAGGTTTCCTGGGGAGGATTTGGGGGGTCCCCGAAGCGGGGGGAGGGGCGGGGGTGGGGGGGCGCAGTTTGGGGGTGTCGGGGGTGGGGAGGGGGCTCGATGCTCTCCCCCCCCCCCCACCCCACGCGTGTCCCGCCGAGCCCGGGGGGGGGGATTTGGCTCTGTGGGGATAATCCCGGGATTTGGGGCCGTAAATCCGGGGGGGATTTGGGGTGAGGGGGGGGATTTAGGATGGGGGGGGGGGGATTAGGGGCGGCCCCGCCCCCGCAGCTGCCCCCGAGCAGCGCGGGGAATTTGGGGAGGGGGCGTCACTCTCAGCGCCCCCCGAGCCGCGCTGAGCCCAGTGGGGGGGTCCCGGTGGAATTTTGGGGGGGTTTTGAGGGATTTGTTCACCCCCCCCTCCCCAAATCGGCGGACGGGGCTGATCCAGCGAGGGGGGGGGGAGGGGAGGGGGATTAGGGGGGATTAACGCCCCCCCCCCCTCAATTCGGGGGGGCATTCCCAGCGCCATCTGGGGCTTTTTTTGGGGGGATTCGGGGGGGGGGCACCTTCGCTTTCGGCAGCGAAAGGAACGCGCGGGGTCAGCCGGGGATGGAGCCCCCCAAAAATCCCCCCAAAATCCCCCCAAAAATCCCCCAAAAATCCTCCCGGGAAGGGGGCACGGCCGCCCCTCCCCCACAGCGCCCCCTGAGGGTTTTTTGGGGTGGGGGGCGAGATTGAGGGGGGGTCTCCCATCCCCAAATCTCCATCCCCGCCCCCCCCCCACAGCCCCAATTCACCCCAAAATTCCCCCAAAAATCCTCTCGGGAAGGGGGCACGGCCGCCCCTCCCCCACACCACCCCCTGGTGCTTTTTTGGGGTGGGGGGGGGTTTGGGGGGGGGTCTCCCATCCCCAAATCTCCATCCCCCCCCCCCCCCAATCCCCGTCATTGTTTATCGCGAGCGCTGATGACGTCAGCGGCGTTGCCATGGCGACGGCGCCGGGTAAATTGGGGATGAGTGGGCGGTTGCCATGGAGACCGGCCGCCCGTTGCCATGGCAACCGCGCAGCTGCGCCCTCCCCCCCCCCTCCCCCCGCTCCTCTGGGGGGTTCCAGATTGGGGGAGGGGGCGGGTCCATCCCCCCCCCCCCCCAATTAACGCTGGGGGGGGAGGGGCGCTCATTAAGGTGTTGCCAGGGAACGGGAGGGGGATGCAGGCCCGGCGTTGCCATGGAGACCGGAGCATCTTTTGGGGGGTGGGGGTGGGGGAGGTGCTGAGGGGGGTCAGGGGGGGTCTCTGTGTGTCCCCAACCCCTCCCCCCACCTCTGTGTCCCCCCACCCCCAGATGAACCGGCCCATCCAGGTGAAGCCGGCGGACAGTGAGAGCCGAGGAGGTACCGCCCCCAAAATCACCCCAAATCACCCCAAAATCACCCCAAATCACCCCCAAAATCCCCCCAAAATCACCCCAAAATCACCCCCAAAATCACCCCAAATCACCCCAAAATCATCACCCCAAAATCCCCCCAAAATCCCCCCAAAATCATCACACTAAAATACCCCCGAATCACGCTGAAACACCCCCAAATCACCCTCGAACACCCCAAATCACACCAAAACCCCCAAATCACCCAGAAACACCCCCAAATCTTCAAAAATTCCCCCCAAATCACCCCAAAAACCCCCAAAATCACCCAAAACCCCGAATTCAACCCCAAAACCCCCAAAATCACCTCAAATCACCCTAAAATCCCCCCGAATCACCCTCAAACACGGTGTCCCCATCCCCATGTCCCGGTGCCAGCACGGTGTCCCCATGCCTGTGTCCCCATGCCCATGTCCCCATCTCCCCGTGTCCAGTGCCCGTGTCCCAGTGCCACACGCTGTCCCCGTGCCCCTGTCCCTGTGCCCAGTGCCACACGCTGTCCCCATGCTGCTGTCCCTGTGCCGCTGTCCCCATGTCCCCATGCCCGTGTCCCGGTGCCCGTGTCCCCCTGTCCCCGCGTCCGTACCTGGTGCCACATGCTGTCTCTGTGCTCCTGTCCCTGTCCCCATGCCCGGTGCCACGCGCTGTCCCTGTGCCCCTGTGGTCCCGGTGCCCGGTGCCACGTGCTGTCCCCATGTCCCCATGTCCCGTGCCCGATGCCATGCGCTGTCCCTGTGCCCCTGTCCCTGTCCCCATGTCCCGGTGCCACGCACTGTCCCGGTGCCCCTGTCCCCATGCCCATGTCCCCCTGTCCCCGTGTCCGTGTCCTGGTGCCACACGCTGTCCCTGTCCCCCTGCCCGGTGCCACACGCTGTCCCTGTCCCCATGTCCCGGTGCCCGGTGCCACGCGCTGTCCCCATGCCCATATCCCCGTGCCCCTGTCCCTATGCCCCGGTGCCCATCCCGGTGCCCGGTGCCGGTGCCACGCTGTGCCCGCAGAGGACCGCAAGCTGTTCGTGGGGATGCTGAGCAAGCAACAGGCGGACGAGGACGTGCGGAAGATGTTTGAGCCCTTCGGCACCATCGACGAGTGCACCGTGCTGCGCGGCCCCGACGGCACCAGCAAAGGTGGGACCCCCGGGGGCAAAGGGAGGGACCCACGGGGGCACTGGGGGTCCCATGGGGGGCTCCTGGGGGGTCCCACGGGGGCACTGGGGGTGCCATGGGGGGCACTGGGGGGTCCCACGGGGGGCACTGGGGGTGCCATGGGGGGCACCAGCAAAGGTGCGGCACCCCGGGGCCACGGGCGGGACCCACGGGGGGCACTGGGGGACCCATGGGGGTCATTGGGGGACCCACGGGGGGCACTGGGAGACCCACGGGGGGCAGCAGGGGACCCACGGGGCTCCTGGAGGGTCCCACAGGGGTCCCATGGGGGTCATCATGGGTCCCACGGGCTCCTGGAGGGTCCCACAGACTCCTGGGGGGACCCACAGGGCTCCTGGAGGGTCCCACGGGGGGCACTGGGGGTCCCATGGGCTCTTGTGGGGACCCACGGGGGTCCCCAGGGGTCCCGCAGGGGTTCCACGGAGGTCACCGGGGGTCTCACGGGCTCTGGGTGGGTCCCATGGGGGCTCCTGGAGGGTCCCATGGGGGTCACCGAGGGTCCCACGGGGGTCATCAGGGGTCTCATGGGGCTCCTGGAGGGTCCCATGGGGAGCACCGAGGGTCCCCTGGGGCTCCTGGAGGGTCCCACAGGGGTCCCATGGGGGTCATCATGGGTCCCACGGGTTCCTGGAGGGTCCCACAGACTCCTGGAGGGTCCCACAGGCTCCTGGAGGGTCTCATGGGGGTCACTGGGGGACCCATGGGGGTCACCAGGGGTCTCACGGGGCTCCTGGAGGGTCCTACGGGGGGCACTGGGGGTCCCACAGGCTCCTGGAGGGTCCCACAGGCTCCTGGGGGGTCCCATGGGGGTCACTGGGGGACCCATGGGGGTCACCGGGGGGGTCCCACAGACTCCTGGGTGGTCCCACGGGTGTCACCAGGGGTCTCATGGGGCTCCCGGGGGGTCCCACAGGGGTCACGGGCGTGGGCAGGGGGACATCTGTGGGGCAGGGATGGGGTTAATGGGGTCTGTCCCAGATGTCCCCAATGTCCCAGATGTCCCCAATGTCCCCAATGTCCCCAATGTCCCCAATGTCCCCGATGTCCCCGATGTCCCCAATGTCCCATTGTCCCCAATGTCTGCAATGTCCCCAATCCCCCCAATGTCCCCAATGTCCCTGATGTCCCCAGGCTGTGCCTTCGTCAAGTTCCAGAGCCACGCAGAGGCCCAGGCCGCCATCGCCGCCCTGCACGGGAGCCGCACACTGCCGGTGAGGGACCGTGAGTGACCGTGAGTGACCATGAGTGACCTTAACTGACCACGAGTGACCTTAACTGACCGTGAGTGACCGTGAGGGACCGTGAGTGACCGTGAGTGACTTTAACTGACCGTGAGTGACCGTGAGTGACCGTGAGTGACCATGAGTGACCATGAGTGACCGTGAGTGACCATAACTGACCATAACTGACCACAACTGACCATAACTGACCACGAGTGACCTTAACTGACCATAACTGACCATAACTGACCACAACTGACCATAACTGACCATGAGTGACCTTAACTGACCTTAACTGACCACGAGTGACCTTAACTGACCGTGACTGACCATGACCAACCATGACCAACCATGACTGACCACAACTGACCACGACTGACCACGACTGACCATGACCGACCATGAATGACCATGACCGACCATGACCGACCATGACCGACCATGACTGACCATGACCGACCATGACCAACCATGACCAACCATGACCGACCATGACTGACCATGACTGACCACAACCAACCGTAACTGACCACGACTGACCACAACTGACCATGACCAACCATGACTGACCATGAACGACCATGAATGACCACAAGTGACCACGACTGCCCACCACTGCCCACCCCTGCCCACCCCTGACCGCCTGTGCCCGCCTGTGCCCGCAGGGCGCCTCCTCCAGCCTGGTGGTGAAGTTTGCGGACACGGAGAAGGAGCGGGGGCTGCGGCGGATGCAGCAGGTGGCGACCCAGCTCGGCATGTTCAGCCCCATCGCCCTCCAGTTCGGAGCCTACAGCGCCTACACGCAGGCGGTACGGCACTGGGGGCACTGGGGGGACTGGGAGGGACTGGGGGGCACTGGGAGGGACTGGGAGGGACTGGGATGGGCACTGGGGGCACTGGGAGGGACTGGGAGGGACTGGGATGGGCACTGGGGGCACTGGGGGCACTGGGGGGACTGGGGGGGACTGGGATGGGCACTGGGAGGGACTGGGGGGGACTGGGATGGGCACTGGGGCACTGGGGGCACTGGGAGGGACTGGGAGGGACTGGGATGGGGCACAGGGGGCACTGGGGACATTGGGGGGACTGGGGGAACTGGGGGGCTCAAGAAGAAGGGGGTGGGACCCCTCAGAATGCAGCCTGAGGTGGTTGGGGTGATGGGTGATGGGTGTTGGGAGGGGATGGACACTGGGGTGACATCCATGGGGAGGTCCCAGGGTGCTGGTGGCACTGGGGTGACATCCATGGGGAGATGCTGGTCCCACATGGGGCACTGGGGTGGCATCCATGGGGAGATCATGGCGCTGGGGTGACATCCATGAGGTGCTGGTGGCACTGGGGTGGCATCCGTGGGGTGCTGGTGGCACTGGGGTGACATCCATGGGGAGATGCTGGTTCCGGATGGGACACTGGGGTGGCATCCATTGGGGGCTGGTGGCGCCAGGGTGACATCCCTGGGGAGATCCCAGGGTGCTGGTGGCGCTGGGGTGACATCCATGGGGAGATCGTGGCACTGGGGTGACATCCATGGGGAGATCCTGGGGTGCTGGTGTCCCCGGTGGCCCCGGTGTCCCCAGTGCCCGCAGTGTCAGGCGTGTCCCCGCAGCTGATGCAGCAGCAGGCAGCCCTGGTGGCACTGGGGTGACATCCATGGGGGGCTGGTGGCACTGGGGTGACATCCATGGGGAGATCCTGGGGTGCTGGTGGCCCCGGTGGCCCCGGTGTCCCTGGTGGCTCTCAGTGTCAGGCGTGTCCCCGCAGCTGATGCAGCAGCAGGCGGCCCTGGTGGCCGCGCACTCGGCCTACCTCAGCCCCATGGCCACCATGGCCGTGCAGATGCAGCACATGGGCACCGTCAGCCCCAACGGGCTCATCGCCACCCCCCTGCCACCCTCCTCAGGTAGGGACAGGGGACAGGGGACAGGGGGGACAGGGGGGACGGGGGGATGGCAGTGGAGGACACAGGGATGGGGACAGTGGGGACAATCCCGTGGATGGGACATTGGGGACAGCAGGGGTGGGACAGGGACACTCAGCCACCACCGAATGGTGGCAGGTTCCTCACCCTCCACGGTCACAGTCCCGGTCCTGACCCGGTTCTGTCCTGGTTCTGACCCGGTTCTCTCCCGGTTATATCCCGGTCCTATCCCGGTTATATCCCGGTCCTATCCCGGTCCTGCCCGGTCCTATCCCGGTCCTGACCCGGTTCTGCCCCGGTCCTGCCCTGGTTCTGTCCCGGTCCTGCCCCGGTCCTGCCCCGGTTCTGCCCGGTCCTATCCCGGTCCTGTCCCGGTCCTATCCCGGTTCTGACCCGTTCCTGACCCGGTTTCTCTGTCCCCAGGAACCAGCACGCCCCCGGCCATGGCGGCCACCCCGGTCCCGGCCATCGCGGCCCCGCTCGGTGTTAACGGTTACAGTCCGGTGCCCGCGCAGCCCGCGGGGCCCCCCGCGCCCGACGCCGTCTATGCCGGGGGGGTCCCGCCCTTCCCAGGTACCCCCGACCCCCCCCGACCCCCCCGAGCCCCCCCGGACCCCCCTAACCCCCCCTGTGCCCCCAGCCCAGAGCCCCGCGACCCCCGGGGACCCCCTGCAGCAGGCGTACGCGGGCATGCAGCACTACACTGGTGCGTACTGGGGGGACTGGGAGGCACTGGGGGGCACTGGGGGGGACTGGGAGGGGATTGGGGGGCACTGGGATGGGGCTGGGGGGCATTGGGAGGGGATTGGGAGGGACTGGGAGGGGGCTAGGAGGGACTGGGAGGGACTGGGAGGGACTGGGAGGGGGCTGGGAGGGACTGGGAGGACACTGGGGGAACTGGGAGGGACTGGGGGGGGAATGGGGAGGGCAGTGGGAGGGACTGGGGCTGTGTTGTGGGGTACTGGGGGGCACTGGGCGGGTGTTGGTGGCACTGGGGGGCACTGGGGGGCACTGGGAGGGGGTCTGTGGCACTGGGGGGCACTGGGTGGGTGTGGGTGGCACTGGGGGGCACTGGGAGGGCACTGGGCGGGTGTGGGTGGCACTGGGGGGCACTGGGAGGGCACTGGGAGGGTGCTGGGTGGCACTGGGAGGGCACTGGGAGGGCACTGGGAGGGGGATTTGTGGCACTGGGGGGCACTGGGAGGGTGCTGGGTGGCACTGGGGGGCACTGGGGGGCACTGGGCGGGTGCTGGTGGCACTGGGGTGGCACTGGGTGGCACTGGGGTGGCACTGGGGTGGCACTGGGTGGCACTGGGGTGGCACTGGGTGGCACTGGGGTGGCACTGGGGTGGCACTGGGGTGGCAGCGATGTCCCGCTGACCCGGTGCCCGCCGTGCCCCCAGCCGCGTACCCGGCCGCCTACGGGCTGGTGAGCCCCGCCTTCGCCCCCCCGGGACCCCTGCTCGCCCCCCCGCCCCCCCCGCAGCAGCAGCAGCGCGAAGGTGAGACCCCCCCGGGACCCCCAAAACTGCCCGGACCCCCCCGGGACCCCCAAAACTGCCCGGACCCCCCCGGGACCCCCAAAACTCCCCAGACCCTCCCTGGGACCCCCAAAACTGCCCGGACCCTCCCTGGGACCCCCAAAACATCCCAGACCCTCCCTGGGACCCCCAAAATTCCCCAGACCCCTGAGACCCCCCCAGAACTCCCCAGACCCCCAAGACCCCTCCATGACCCCCAAAACTCCCCAGACTCCAGAGAACCCCCCTGGGACCCCCCAAAACCCTCCGGACCCCCATGGGGTCCCGTGTCCATTTTTGGGTCAGAGCCCCGGTTTGGGGTCCCATGTGGGTTGTGGGTCTCAAGCCCCGGTTTTGGGGTCCCGTGTCCCTGTGGGTCTCAAGCCCTGGTTTTGGGGTCTGGTGTCCTTTTTGGGTTCAGAGTCCCGGTTTTGGGGTCCCGTGTCCTTTTTGGGTTCAGAGCCCCGGTTTGGGGTCCCGTGTCCTTGTGGGTCTCGAGCCCCGTTTTGGGGTCCCAGCTCCGTTTGGGGTCCCGAGCCCCGGTTTTGGGGTCTGGTGTCCACTGTGGGTCTCAAGCCCCAGTTTTGGGTTCAGAGCCCCGGTTTTGGGGTCCCAGCTCTGTTGTGGGTCTCGAGCCCCGGTTTGGGGTCCCGGCTCCGTTGGGGTCTCGAGCCCCGGTTTTGGGGTCCCGTGTCCCTGTGGGTCTCGAGCCCCGGTTTTGGGGTCCCGTGTCTGTTTTGGGTTCAGAGCCCCGGTTTTGGGGTCCCGGCTCCGTTGGGGTCTCGAGTCCCGGTTTGGGGTCCCGTGTCCCTGTGGGTCTCGAGCCCCGGTTTGGGGTCCAGTGTCCATTTTGGGTTCAGAGCCCCGGTTTTGGGGTCTGGTGTCCAATGTGGGTCTTGAGCCCCGGTTTTGGGGTCCCGTGTCCCTGTGGGTCTCAAGCCCCGGTTTGGGGTCCCGAGCCCCGGTTTTGGGGTCCCGGCTCTGTTTGGGGTCTCGAGCCCCAGTTTGGGGTCCCGTGTCCATTTTGGGTTCAGAGCCCTGGTTTGGGGTCCCGGCTCCGTTTGGGGTCTCGAGCCCCGGTTTGGGGTCCCGGCTCTGTTTGGGGTCTCAAGCCCCGGTTTGGGGTCCCGTGTCCATTGTGGGTCTCGAGCCCCGGTTTGGGGTCCCGGCTCCGTTGGGGTCCCGAGCCCCGGTTTGGGGTCCCTGTTTTGGGTTCAGAGCCCCGGTTTGGGGTCCCTGTTTTGGGTTCAGAGCCCCGGTTTTGGGGTCCCGTGCCCCTGTGGGTCTCGAGGCCCGTTTTTGGGGTCCCGGCTCCGTTTGGGGACGCCGTCCCAGGTGTGACCCCGCTCCCTCCGCAGGCCCCGAGGGCTGTAACATCTTCATCTACCACCTGCCCCAGGAGTTCGCCGACACCGAGATCCTGCAGATGTTCCTCCCCTTCGGCAACGTCATCTCCGCCAAGGTCTTCGTGGACAGGGCCACCAACCAGAGCAAGTGCTTCGGTAGGGACGCGGGGACACCGGGGACACTGGGGACAGTGGGGACATTGGGGACACTGGGGACATCAGGGACATTGGGGACATTGGGGACATTGGGGATAGTGGGGACAGTGGGGACATCGGGGACAGTGGGGACATTGGGGACACTGGGGACATCAGGGACATTGGGGACATTGGGGACATTGGGGACATTGGGGACATTGGGGACAGTGGGGACATCGGGGACATTGGGGACATTGGGGACAGTGGGGACATCAGGGACAATGGGGACACTGGGGACAATGGGGATAGTGGGGACATTGGGATCATCAGGGACATCGGGGACAATGGGGACATTGGGGACAATGGAGACAGTGGGGACACTGGGGACACTGGGGACACTGGGGACATCAGGGACAATGGGGACATCAGGGACATTGGGGACATCAGGGACACTGGGGACATCAGGGACAATGGGGACACTGGGGACACTGGGGACATTGGGGACATCGGGGACATTGGGGACATTGGGGACATTGGGGACCTCAGGGACACTGGGGACATTGGGGACATTGGGGACATTGGGGACAATGGGGACAATGGAGACACTGGGGACACTGGGGACAATGGGGACAAGGGGGACACTGGGGACAGTGGGGACACTGGGGACATCAGGGACATTGGGATCATCAGGGACACTGGGGACATCAGGGACATTGGGATCATTGGGATCATCAGGGACATTGGGGACACTGGGGACATTGGGGACAATGGGGACACTGGGGACCTCAGGGACATTGGGGACATTGGGATCATCAGGGACAATGGGGACACTGGGGACAGTGGGGACATCGGAGACACAGGGGACATTGGGGACATCAGGGACACTGGGGACATCAGGGACAATGGGGACACTGGGGACACTGGGGACATTGGGGACATTGGGGACACTGGGGACATTGGGGACATTGGGGACAATGGGGACACTGGGGACACTGGGGACAATGGGGACATTGGGGACACGGGATATTGGGGGCGTTGGGATCATCAGGGACATTGGGGGCACTGGGGACATGGGGACAATGGGGACATCAGGGACATTGGGGACATTGGGATCATCAGGGACATTGGGGACACTGGGGACATCAGGGACAATGGGATCATCAGGGACATTGGGGACAATGAGGATAATGGGATAAGGATGTGGGATATGGGGACACTGGGGACATTGGGGACATTTGGGATATTGGGACACTGGGGACACAGGGACACAGGGACACAGGGACATGGGGACATGGGGACACGGGGACATGGGGATATGGGATAGGGGATGTGGGATATGGGGACACTGGGGACAATGGGGACACAGGGGCATTGGGATATTGGGATATGGGACATGGGGACACTGGGGACGTTTGGGATATTGGGATATGGGATATGGGGACACTGGGGACACTGGGAACATTGAGGATATTGGGATATTGGGATATGGGGACATGGGGACATGGGGATACGGGATAGGGGATGTGGGTTATGGGAAATGGGGACATGAGGGACAAGGAGGGACAGCAAGGACGGGGTGGTGGTGGTCAGCACGTGGGGACATCACGGCCAGGGTCACCAGTCCCTGATGTCCCTGATCTCCCCAATGTCCCCTCTGTCCCCTCTGTCCCCCATATCCCCCCGATGTCCCCGATCTCCCCAATGTCCCCTCTGTCCCCCATATCCCCCCGATGTCCCCGATGTCCCCGCAGGCTTCGTGAGCTTTGACAACCCCGCGAGCGCCCAGGCCGCCATCCAGGCCATGAACGGCTTCCAGATCGGCATGAAGCGCCTCAAGGTGCAGCTCAAGAGGCCCAAAGACGCCAACCGGCCCTACTGAGCCCGGTGAGACCCCCAAGACACCCCATGAGACCCCCGGGACACCCCAGGACACCCCTGGGACACCCTGGGATACCCTGGGACACCCCTGGGACACCCTGGGACACCCTGGGATAACCTGGGACACCCTGGGACACCCCTGGGACACTCCTGGGACCCTTTGGGACACCCCGGGACACCCCAGGACACCCCTGGGACTCCCTGGGATACCCTGGGATTCCCCAGGGACCCTCTGGGACACCCCTGGGACACCTCCAGGAACGTCTGGGACACCCTGGGATACCTTGTGACACCCTGGGACACCCCTGTGACACTCCTGGGACACCCTGGGATCCCCAGGGACCCCTTGGGACACCATGGGACATTTCCAAGACCCCCCTAGGACACCTCCGGGGACCCCCCAGGACACCCTGGGACCCCTCGGGACCCCTTGGGACACCCCTGGGACACCTTGTGACACCCTTGGGACACCCCTGGGACGCCTCCGGGCTGGAAACCCCCCGGGGATCCCCTTGAGAGCCCCCCCGGGACCTCCCCCCAGAACCCCCCCATGACCCCCCCAGGCTGGGAACCCCCTGAGCCCCCCAAACCCCGCTGGGTTGGGACGTGCCCCACTGGGATTTGGGGGGTCCCCGGGATTTTGGGGGGGCAGGAAATGCCCCCCAAACTCTGTTTAACCCCCACCCCCATCCCCAAATTTTCCCTCCCCAGGTCCGGAGGCGCCGGAGCAGCACCTTTGGGTGCCCCCCCTCGCAGAGCAGCCCCCCCAAACCCAGCGATGCCCGGGGGGGGTGGGGGGCTCTGTCCTGCTGGGGGGGCCCCCAGACCCCCCCACGCTCAGGAAGGATGGACCCCCCCCCAGACCCCATCCGACCCCCCCAGTCCATCCCAGTCCATCCCAGTCCATCCCAGTCCAGCCCAGTGCCCCCCCAGCAGCCGCATCCCCACTCCGTTTTTGGGGGGTCGTGCCCACCCTGGGGGCCCCCCAAAAGGACCCCACCCCCCCCCCCCAGGGACCCTTCTTGGGGCTTTTCTCACCAAACAGGACCAAAAGCAGCTCCAAACTGGGGGGGGTCTCTGGGGGTCACGGGGGTCCCGGGGGCCTTTTGGGGGGGTCCCAAAGGGGGAACTCGGCCCCCCCCCCAATTCCCGCCCGGGGGCGCAGCGGGACCCCAACACTGCCACTGCCACCCGCTCCGCCCACTGCCTGCCTCAGTTTCCCTGCGGGATGGGCCGGGATGGGACTGGGATGGACTGGGATAAACTGGGACTGGGATAGGCTGGGAATGGGATGGACTGGGACTGGGATGGACTGGGACCGGGATAAACTGGGACTGGGATGGACTGGGAATGGGATAAACTGGGACTGGGATAAACTGGGACTGGGATGGACTGGGACTGGGATGGACTGGGACCGGGATAAACTGGGACTGGGATGGACTGGGAATGGGATAAACTGGGACTGGGATGGACTGGGACTGGGATGGACTGGGAATGGGATAAACTGGGACTGGGATGGACTGGGACTGGGACTGGGATGGATTGGGATAAACTGGGACTGGGATGGACTGGGACTGGGATGGGCTGGGACTGGGATAAACTGGGACTGCGATGGGCCGGGACTGGGATGGACTGGGACTGGGATAAACTGGGACTGGGATGGACTGGGACTGGGATAAACTGGGACTGGGATGGACTGGGAATGGGATAAACTGGGACTGGGATAAACTGGGACTGGGATGGATCAGCACTGGGATGATCCCACACTGGGATGATCCCACACCGGGACCTTCCCCACGGGGATGTTCCAGCACTGGGACGCTCTGGGATCGGGAAGCTCCAATAGCAGAAAGTTCCACCACGGGAATGCTGAACTGGGACGATCCCACAGCGGGATGATCCCACAGACGATCCCACAGACGATCCCACAGACGATCCCACAGTGGCACGATACCACAGACAATCCCACAATCCCACAGACAATCCCACACCAGGACGATCCCACAGCAGGACAATCCCACAGCGGGATGCTCCAACCCCGGAATGTCCCAGCCTGGGGCTGCTCCGTTATCGGGATGCTCCAAGATCAGAGGGATCCAGGACTGGAAGGCTCCAACACCGGAACGATCTGACACCGGAATGTTCCAGAAGATGTTCTGACACAGGAATGCTCCAATTCCAGAACGTTCCAGCACATGTTCCAACACCAGAATGATCCAACACCGGAATGTTCCAAGTTCCGACACCGGAATGATCCGATCCCGAACGCCCCGGCCGTGGGACGCTCCAGCACCGACCCCGGGATGTCCCCGCTCCTCTGGGATGTCCCATCCCAAAATGTCCCCATCAGGAGCCGGATGGACTCGGAGCGGCCGATCCCGGGAATTCCTGGGAACTCCAAACCAGCCAAATCCGGGGCACAGCGGGAGCGGCCGGAGCAGGGACAGGGACAGGGACACGGACACGCGGCCCCAAATCCCAAATGATCCCAAATCCCAAAGGATCCCAAATCCCAAATGATCCCAAATCCCAAAGGATCCCAAATCCCAAAGGATCCCAAATCCCAAATCCAGGGGGTGCCGGCCCCCACCAGCCAAACCGGGGCCGTGCCCAGCCCGGAGCCGCCCAGGACCCCAAACCCCAACACCCCCAAACCAGTGCCCCCAGCACCCCAAACTGGGACAGTGCCCCCCAAACCAGTGCCCCCAGCACCCCAAACTGGGACAATTCCCCCCAGACCAGTGCCCCCAGCACCCCAAACTGGGACAGTGCCCCCCAAACCAGTGCCCCCAGCACCCCAAACTGGGACAGTGCCCCCCAAACCAGTGCCCCCAGCATCCCCCAAACTGGGACAGTGCCCCCAGCACCCCAAACTGGGACAGTGCCCCCCAAACTGGGACAGTGCCCCCAGCACCCCAAACTGGGACAGTGCCCCCAAACTGGGACAGTGCCCGCCAAACCAGTGCCCCCAGCACCCCAAACTGGGACAGTGCCCCCAAACTGGGACAATTCCCCCCAAACCAGTGCCCCCAGCACCCCAAACTGGGACAGTGCCCCCCAAACTGGGACAGTGCCCCCCAAACCAGTGCCCCCAGCACCCCAAACTGGGACAATTCCCCCCAGGTGGGGTCGGTGCCACCCCAGCCCCCCAGACTGGGTCAGGGTCCCCCCCCAGACTGGCCCAATGTCCCCCCCAGCCCCCCCAAACCTCTCCCCAGTGCCCCCAGCACCCCCAAACCAGTGCCCCCCCTTCACCCCGCTGTACATAAGGGGGGGTTGGGCCCCCTCCGTGTCCCCCCCATTTTGGGGGGGTTTGGGACCTGCTGGGTTGATTTTGGGGGGTGGGGGGGGTTTGGGGGAGGGGCGGTGAAGCCCCCCGGGCTCAAGGCTTTATTTATTTGCTATTTATTGCATTTCCTTTCAGAATTGACTTTTTTTTTTCTCTCTCTCTTTTTTTTTCTTTTTGGTTTTTCTGTCGAAATAATAATAATAATAATAAAAAAACAACAAACAAAAAAAACCCCAAACCACACCTTAAAAACCCCCACCGAATTCCCAAATTCCAGAATTTTGAGACCATCCCTGGATTTTGGGGGGACACGGGAGCCCCCCCCAGGGGAAGGAGCACGGCCACGGCCCTCCGGAATTTCCTCAATAAATCAATTTATTTAAAAGAATATGTTACAATTAATTACACTAAAGGGGAACCCGAGGAATGGGAGCAGCTGGAAGAGGGAAAATGGGACAAAGCGGGGGCAGAGTTTTGGTTTTGTATTTTTTTTTTTTTTTTTGACCAATTTCTCCTTTTCTGGGTTTTTTTTCTGGATTAAAAAATCCACAGGGAGATGGTTCCGTCGGAATTTGGGGCTAGAGGGAAAATTTGGATCAAAAATTGGGTTTTTCTTGGGATTTTACCCAAATTGGGGGGTGCTGAAGGAGATTTTAGAGGGGGGATTTTGGGAATTCCCAAACTTCTCCCAGTTTCCCTCCCCCATTCCGGGGTTTTCCACAGCTCAGGGCTCCCGAGGACAACGGAAATCCAATTAATTACAGGGATCCAATTAATGGAATTAATTCCCAGCTGCTCCAGAGCCGAGGATTTGGGATTTTCCCCCACCCCAAAAAAAAAAAAATCATCTTCCCCCATCCCGGCTCCAGGGGGAGGAGTGGGGAAAAACCCTTCCAAAAAAGGGAATTTTGGGGAAAATCCCATTTTGGAGCATTCCAGAGGTGGGGAATGAGGCCAGGATTCCCAAATCCACCCCAAACCCCGGCGGGACCGGCTCCAGGCCAGCCCAAAACCAGGGAAAAACGGATTTTCCAGGCGATTTTTATCTCCCAAAACATGGAAAAATCCCACTCAAAACCAGGGGAAAAGGGCTTTTCCATAATTTTTGCTTCTGGGAATTGCTCAGCTGGCAGATCCATGGAAAAATCCCGCCCAAAACCAGGGAAAAACGGATTTCCCACGATTTTTCCTTCTGGGAATTGCTCAGCTGCTGGATCCACGGAAAAATCGTGCTCAAAACCAAAGAAAAACAGCTTTTCCATGATATTTTTCCTCCCAAAACATGGGAAAGACCCACTGCAAATTAGGGAAAATTTCTTTTCCAGAGGGTTTTTCCCTCTGGGAGCTGCTCATCCACCCAAGACATGGAAAATTCCTGCTCCAAACCAGGGGAAAAAAGGATTTTCCTGCTGATTTTTCCCTCCTGGGAACATCCCAGCCACTGGATCCGTGGGAAAATCCCGTTCAAAACCAGGGAAAATTAATTTTCCACCTTATTTTCCTCCAGAACTCTGGAAAAATCCTGCTCAAAACGAGGGAAAATGGTTTTTTCCAGGTTATTTTTCCTGCTTGGACACCCAAGTCATGGATCAAAAGTGCTCAAAAATAGGGAAAATTGGCTTTTTCTGGGTTATTTTTCCTCCTGGGAGCCGCCCAGCCACTGGATCCAGGGAAAAATCCCACTGAAAATTAGGGAAAATTGGCTTTTCCAGGTTATTTTTCCTCCTGGGAGCTGCTCATCCCCATCCAGGGGCAGCCTCGGGATCCTGGAATCTCCCAGATCCCATCCCAAGGAGCCAGGCACACCCAAATCCCTGGGAAAACACCCCAAAAAAGCGGGAATACAAATCCACAAGCGGGATCCTCGTGCCAGGAGAGGCATTTCCTTGGAATTTTACTCCTTTTGGATGTTTTTCCTGGGTTTTTTTAACAGACTGGGAGGAGAAACAGGCGGAAAATCCCTTTAAAAGCTGCTGCCACCCCGTGGGATTTTAAAGGAATTATTCCCACAGATGCCCAGGCAGGAATGGAACATTCCCAGGGCTTTTTCCTGCTTTTTCCTCCCCTTATTTTTCCACATCTGACCCAGCAGAAACAACAATTTTTCAATTCCAGTTGTAAAAATTAAAAAGAAAAAAAAAAAAAATCCCAAAATTCCCAGCCTGGAGCTGGATCTGAGTGGGGAAAAAGGAGCCCCCTCAAGTGGCTTTTCCCAGTTTTTTTTTTGTTTGGTTTTTTTTTCCCTCTGGAATTCCATAGAGATGATGGGCACGAATGGATTTGGGATTAATGAGATTTAGTTTGGGGTGGGGCTTTAATACAATAAGGGATTTTTTTTGGGGATTTTTTTGGAAAAGCTGCCGGGGTTAAGTGGCCGCGTCCCTTTGCTGTGACCTGACCAGCTGGAAAAGGTTCTGGAAAAGAAGGAAAAGGGGAGGAGTGAAGGGGGCAGAGCTTTTCCCAGATTTATCCTGGCCATTCCCAGCCTCCCAAGGCTTTTCCCAGATTTATCCCAGGTTATCCCCACCTCCAGGAGCCTTTTCCCAGATTTATCCTGGCCATTCCCAGCTCCCCAAGGCTTTTCCCAGATTTATCCCAGGTTATCCCCACCTCCAGGAGCCTTTTCCCAAACACTGCAGCTCTTTTTTTCCAGCTGCTCCATGAAACCTTCCCCATCCTGGGATTACCCAGTCATTCCCTGTGGGAATCATGGACCAGGAGAAGCTTTTCCCACTGAAAACCACCCAGGAAAGGGAAAAGTTTGGAATTCTCACCTCCTTCCTCCACTTGAGCTCGCAGAAGACTCGCTCGAAGCACTCGTGCATGTAATTGAACTGCCAGGGAAAAACGGGAATCAGGGAAAATCCAGGAGATCCAGGGGGGAACTGGGAATTCTGGGCAGGAGCCAGAGGCTCCAGGGAGGAACTGGGAACCTCCTGGTTCCTGTTCGGGGGTTCTGGATCCAGGAGCTCCAGAGGAATTTCAGAGAGGAACCAGGAGCTCCAGGGAGGAGCCAAGAATTCCAAACAGGAGCCAGCAGCTCCAGAGGGGATCTGAGGAATTCCAAGTGGGATTTGAGAGAATTCTGGGCGGGACTGGGACACTCACGATCCCATTCCTAAGGGAATTTCGGGTGGGATTTGAGGGAATCCTGGGCAGGACTGGGACACTCATGATCCCATTCCCAAAGGGAATTCTAGGCAGGACTGGGGAATCCCACTCACACATCCCATTCCCGAGGGAATTCTGGGTGGGATTTGAGGGAATTCCACTCACATATCCCATTCCCAAGGGAATTCCCGGTGGCATTTGAGGGAATTCCCGGTGGGATTTGAGGGAATTCCGGGCGGGATTTGAGGGAATTCCGGGAGGGATTGGGATACTCACACATCCCATTCCCAAGGGAATTCTGCACGGGTTTTGAGGACATTCCGGGTGGGATTTGAGGGAATTCCAGGTGGGATTGGAGGGCATTCTGGGCGGGATCAGAGGGAATTCCGAGCGGGATCAGAGGGAATTCCGGGTGGGATCAGAGGGCACCCAGGTGGAATTTGAGGAAATTCGGGGTGGGATTGGAGGGCATTCCGGGTGGGATTGGAGGGAATTCCGGGTGGGTTCTGAGGGCATTCCGGGTGGGATTGGAGGGAATTCCAGGCAGGATTGGAGGGAATTCCAGGCGGGATTGGGGGGCACCTAGGTGTGGTTTGAGGGCATTCCAGGTGGGATTGGAGGGAATTCCAGGCGGGATTGGAGGGAATTCCGGGTGGGATTTGAGGGCATTCCGGGCGGGATTGGACTGGGACACTCACGTAGGGGGTGAAGATCTTGACCCAGCGCGGTTTCTTCTCGGCGCGCGCGTACTCGAAGCAGAAGGCCATGCCCTCCTCGTCCGTGTCCCAGCGCTGCATCTCCTCCCACTCGAAGGCGATCACCTGGTTCTGCAATTCCCGAGCCCCCGGTGAGCGGGAACGCCGCGGGGTCCCGGGCAGGGAGCTGGGATCCCCCCGGGAGCCCCCCGGGAGCCCCCCGGGATGGGGACGGCTCAGGGTGAGGGGAAATGGAGGGAGGATTCCCAGAGTTATCCCGGAGAGCAACGGCTGCGCCTCCCAAATCCCAGCAGGGAGCGCCGGGAGATCCCAGGGACGTGCAAATCCAAAGGGGTGAGGCCAGCGATGATCCCAGGGAAAATTCCAGGGAGTTGGGACGATCCCAGGGTAAATTCCAGGGAGCTGGGATGATCCCAGGGTAAATTCCAGGGAGCTGGGATGATCCCAGGGTAAATTCCAGGGAGCTGGGATGATCCCAGGGTAAATTCCAGGGAGTTGGGATGATCCCAGGGATCTGGGAACACAGTCCAGGTGCAAATCCAAAGGTGTCTGGTTGGAGATGATCCCCGGGGATCTCAAGACAGATCCCCAGGGATTTGGGGACAAGGGGCAGGTGCAAATCCAAGTTCTGAGGTCAGGGATGATCCCAGGGATTTGGGAACACGGTGATGCTGTAACACCCAGGGTGTGAGGCTGGGGACAATCCCAGGGATTGGGATGACCCCAGGGATTGGGGATGACCCCAGGGATTGGGGATGACCCCAGGGATTTGGGAATGACCCCAGGGATGGCAGGAGCACCTCGAGCTGCCCCTCCTCGGTGCAGGCGTGCAGTTTGAAGTGGCGGATGCTGATGGCAGAGATGACGTGGCCCTTGCGCCGCGAGTCGCACGAGCAGTGCGGGAAGGTGATCTCGTTGTAGCCCTCGCACGTCCGCAGCATGTTCAGGTACTGCGGGAACAGCCGCGTCACCGGGCTGCCACCAGGACCCCGGGAATGCACCGGGGTGCCACCCAGTCACCGGGACCCCAGGGAGACACTGGGGTGCCAGGGAGTCACTGGGATGCCAAGGAATGCACCAGGATTCCAGGGAATGCACCGGGACCCCCGGGAATGCACCGGGACCCCCGGGAATGCACCGGGGTGCCACCCAGTCACCGGGACCCCAAGGAGACACCGGGACCCCCGGGAATGCACCGGGGTGCCACCCAGTCACCGGGACCCCAGGGAATGCACCGGGACCCCAGGGAATGCACCGGGGTGCCAGGGAATGCACCGGGACCCCCGGGAATGTACCGGGGTGCCACCCAGTCACTGGGACCCCAGGGAGACACCGGGGTGCCAGGGAGTCACTGGGATGCCAAGGAATGCACCAGGATTCCAGGGAATGCACCGGGACCCCCGGGAATGCACCGGGACCCCCGGGAATGCAGCGGGGTGCCACCCAGTCACCGGGACCCCAGGGAGACACCGGGGTGTCACCGAGTCACCGGGACCCCCGGGAATGCACCGGGGTGCCACGGAGTCACTGGGACCCCAGGGAGTCACCTGGGCCCAGACACAGGCAGGGATTCCATGGGGACATTCCAGGGATTCCATGGGGACAATCCAGGGATTCCATGGGGACATCCCAGGGAATTCACCCACCATGACCATCTTCCTCTGCTCGCAGAGCTTCTGGAGCTGGTAGGATTTCTCCTCGGCTTTGATGTAGCCTTTCTTGACGTCATCAACGGCCTGGGGATGGGAGGAAAAACGGGATAAAACTGGGAAAAATCCGGGACCTTGGGGTGGTTGGAGAACCTTGGGGTGCCTCAATCCCATATAAACAACCAAAGCCCCATCCCAGTTTGGGATCAACTGTGGGATCCAAACTCCCTGTGAGGAGTTTTCCCCACCCACAGGGGAATTCCAGGTGGGAATTCTGTACCTGGGGGACCTTGGGGTGGCCCGAGACCCTTGGGGTGCCTCAATCCCATAAAATAACCAAAACCCCATCCCACTTTGAGACCAACTGTGGGAGCCAACCACCCCACAAGGCGTTTTCTCCACCCAGAGGGGCATTCCAGAGGAATTCCAGGTGGGAATTCCTTGTGGGAATTCCTGGGGGACCTTGGGGTGGCCAGAGAACTTTGGTTGCTGCTATCCCATAAAAACAACCAAACCTTATCCAACTTTGGGACCAACTGTGGGACCCAAAGGCCCTGTGAGGGGTTTTCCCCACCCACAGGGGCACTCCAGAGGAATTCCAGGTGGGAATTCCATACCTGGTGGAAGAAGTAGGCCACGGCCAGGTCGTTGTCGTTGAGCAGCGCCTCCTCCTCGGTGGTGAAGAGCCACTTGCGCAGGGTCAGGCACGTCCCCGGCACGGCCGAGGTGTAATTCTGCACGTAGAGCTTGTGGGGGAACTCGTTGGGAGCCAACTTCCGCACTGGGATCGGCCCGGGAAATCCCGGAGAGGCCGCGGAATGTCGGGGTCAGGGCGTGGGGAGGACAGGGATGCCAGGAGAGCCAAAAAAAATCGGCCTTAAAATGGGGTTTTCCCACAGGGAGCAGTCAAAAATGATCCCAGATCCTTCCAACGTGACCCCAAATACTCCAGAATGTGCCCAAATCCATCTAGAATGTGCCCAAATCCTTCCAGAGTGATCCCAAATCCTTCCAGTGACCCCAAATCCTTCCAGAGTGATCCCAAATCTTCCAGAGTGATCCTAAATCCTTCCAGAGTGATCCCAAATCCTTCCAGAGTGATCCCAAATCCTTCCAGTGACCCCAAATCCTTCCAGAATGTCCCCAAAACCTTCCAGAGTGACCCTAAATACTCCAGAATGACCCAAATCCTTCCAGAGTGACCCCAAATATTCCAGAATGTCCCTAAATTATTCCAGAATGATCCCAAATTCTTCCAGAATGACCGCAAATCCTCCAAGATGGTCCCAAAATCTTCCAGCATTATCCCCGAATCCTCCAAAATGATCTCAAGCCCTTCCAAAATTATCCCTGGATCCTTCCAGAATGATCCCAAATCCCTACAAAACCCCTGGAATCTGGAGGAACATCCCAAAAATCCCGGATGTGGTTCTGCATGGAGAGCTTGTGGGGGAACTCGTTGAGAGCCAACTTCTGCACTGGGAAAAGCTGGGAAATTAGGAAAAGATCCCCTCAAATTGTGCCAGGGGAAGTCCAGGTTGGATATTCGGGAATATTTCCCCATGGAAAAGGTGATCAGGTGTTGGAAGGGGCTGCTCAGGGCACGGTGGAGCCACTGTTTCTGGGAATTATCCCAAAAATTCCTGGAAGAGGCACTTGTGGGATGGGATTTGGTGGGATTGGCCTCAGTCTCAGGGGGCTTTTCCAGCCAGGACAATTCCCCATCCCTGGGAGTGCCCAATTCCAGCTTGGATCAACCTGGGACAGTGGGAGGTCCCAACATTCCAGCGATCTTTAGGGACCTTTTCCATCCCAAACCATTCCAAGATTCCCTATCCTGCTTTAATGGGATTTTAGGGATAAATCCTTCCCTATCCCAGGTTATTCCATGGATTCCCCACCCCTGGAATCATCCAAATCCAGGCTGGAGCAGCCTGGGGCCATGGGAGCCGTCCCTGCCCCACGAATTCCACAACCCCACCCCTATGGACCTGCGGATTCCTCCATTCCCAATTTTTTTTCCCTAAATCCCACGGAATTCCAGGCTCACCGAAGGAGTGGTTGATGACCTCGAAGAGGGCGAAGTAGTTGGCGGTGACGCTGTCCATGCCCACCTTGGCAGCCACCGCCTGGAAAACGCCGGGAAAACGGGATCAGCGCCAGCCGGGCATTGCCGGGAATTCCCTGGCCACGGAAAACCCGGTTGGAACTGGGCCAGCAGAACCAGGCCAGCTTCTCATTCCCATTTTCCTCCCCCATTCCCGGGGGATGTCGAGGCTGTGGGGTCTCCGCAATTCCAGCCTGGACTCCCCCCAAGGAAAAGGAGTGGGGAAATTCCAGTTTAGGATCATCCCAAACTCGGCGTGGAATTCCTGAACACACCCAAATCCCGTTCATCCGCAGGATTCTGGAATTCCTGCCCTTTGCCATCTCCTTTTTCCAAAGGGTCTGCCCTGTGTTGCTTTATTCCCCATAATCCATGGATCCCGTGGATCCCAATCCTCAAAAAACAGGGGAAAATCCAGGTGGGAAAAGAGGAAATTCCAGGTGGTGAAAGGAAAATTGAGGCGAAAAGATGGAAGTTCCAGGTGGGAAAGGTGGAAAATCCAGGTGGAGGAAAGGAAAATCCAAGTGGGAAAGAGGAAAGAGAAATCCAAGCGAGGGGAAGGAAATTCCAGCTGGGAAAACAGGAAAATGCAGGCGGGGGTGGGGAAATTGAGTTGAGGGGATGGAAATTCCCGGTGGGAAGGGCAATTCCAGGTGGGAATGGGCTCACCTGGTACACCTGGTCCGTGGTGCTGTTCTTCTTCACCCTCACCGTCACCGTGGTGACGTCCGGGAGCGCCACCCGCAGCTCCACGTCGGAGACGCCGTTGTAATTCTGGGAAAAAAGGGAAAATCCCCCCAAAAAATCAGGAAATCCCTGTTTTCCAGCGGTTTGTGATCCCTCAAAATCCCCCAGTGGGAATTCAGCGTGGGAGGAGGGATGGGGTTGGATTCTTCTCAGCAGGGGCAGGATGAGGGAATGGCCAGGGAGCTCCAGGTGGGATATTTGGGAAAATTCCCCCTTGGAATTCCTTCATCCCTTCGTGGGCACTGCAGAATCGCCACCCCGGGAATTGTCCCAAACTGGGGCTTTGGGACCAATTCGCCCCCTGGAATTCCCACTCATTCCCTGGATCCTGAAGGATTGTGGGGTTTGGAGGAATTCTGGGAGCTTGGGGTGCCTCAATCCCATTAAAAACGGGCAGAATTGTCCCCAAAACCCCTGGGTGTGGCACCTGGGGACAGGGATCAGGGGTGGCCTTGGGGACGGTTGGACGGGAGGGGCTTTCCCACCTTCAGGATTCCATGGAAGGGTTTTTTCCATGGAATTCCGCGGGATGACGTCACCCACCTCGTCCGACTCCGACAGGAACTCCTGCATGATGTCGCTCTCGCCGATGACCCGGATGGAGCACACTGCGGGACACGCGGGATGTCACCCGGAATGTCACCCGGACACGGGAATGTCCCCTCCAGGGGCAGCCCAGCAACCTCCTCCCTCATCCGGAGGGAATTCCTGCACCTGGGCCACCTCCTGTCCCCTGGGTCACCACTAACCCCCTGTTCTCCGTGTCCTGGTGTCCCTCATGGATCCACACCTTCTCCAAGGTGTCCCCTAAGTCACCTCCTGTCCCCTATTGTCACTGTTCCATGTTCTCCATGTCCTGATGTCCCTCATGGATCCACACCTTCTCCAAGGTGTCCCCTGGGCCACCTCCTGTCCCCAGTGTCACCTCCTGTCCCCTGGGTCACCCTTAACTCCATGTTCTCCGTGTCCTGGTGTCCCTCATGGATCCAGACCCTCTCCAAGGTGGATCCACCCCAAAATCCCACCCAACCACCCCAAACCTCCCAGAGCAAACCCACAAATGGACCAGGAATCCCCCTTGGGAATGCTGGTGAGGAGTTTTGGGATGAGGGATTTTGGGATGAGGCAGGATTTGGGATGAGGGATTTGGGTGAGGGGTTTTGAGATCAGATATTTTGGGATGAAGGATTGGGGTGAGGAGGGATTTTGGGATAAGGATGGATTTAGGGATGAGGATGGATTGTGGGATGAGGGATTTTGAGAGGGATTCTGGGCTGAGGAAAGATTTTGGGGTGCAGGATTGGGGTGAGGGTGTATTTAGGGACGAGGATGGATTTTGGGGTGTGGGATTGGGGTGAGGATGGATTTAGGGACAAGGAGGGATTTTGGGGTGCAGGATTGGGGTGAGGAGGGATTTTGGGGTGAGGGTGTATTTAGGGACAAGGATGGATTTTGGAGTGCGGGATTGGGGTGAGGGTGTATTTAGGGACGAGGATGGATTTTGGGGTGCGGGATTGGGGTGAGGAGGGATTTAGGGACGAGGATGGATTTTGGGGTGCAGGATTGGGACGAGGATGGATTTTGGGGTGCGGGATTGGGGTGAGGGTGTATTTAGGGACGAGGATGGATTTTGGGGTGCGGGATTGGGGTGAGGGTGTATTTAGGGACGAGGAGAGATTTTGGGGTGCGGGATTGGGGTGAGGAGGGATTTAGGGACGAGGAGGGACTCCGGGAGCACCGCACCCTTCTCCAGGTACTCCTCCAGGCCCCTCCTGCGGGCGTCCAGCTGCTGCTCGGACAGGGAGAACGGCCACTTGCCGGGCAGGCGCGGGAAGGTGAAGTTGGCGAATTCCCGCTTCAGGTTCTGGTGCAGGATGGCGAATTCCCGGTAGCGCTTGGAGCACAGCTGCCTCCCGGCCATGTAAACGTTGTACACCTGGGGAGAGAGCCCCCAGAATTCCCAAATCTTCCCCAAATCTTCCCCACAGCCGTGCCCCACCCTCCTGGACAGAGGGGTTTGGGGAGAGAGGAGGGAATGCACTGAGACTGAAGATGGGGGGTGTCCCTGCTGATCCCGGTATTCCAGGAATCAGGAACCCCAAATCTTGGGATTCAGGATCATGGATACTTCCCACGAGACACTGAGAAGTCCCAAACTCCCCATTTTCCATGCAAAGCTCAAAATCTTGGGATTTAAGTTCCTGGCTCCTTCCCATGGAATGCAGAGAGAATCCCAAACTCCTCATGTTGCATCTGAAGTCCCAAATTATGGGATTTTAGGCCAAATCCCACTCTGGGATTTCAGCATTCCTATATTCCAATGTATTCCAACACTGCTGTATCCCTATGTTCAACATTCCAACATTCCCGTATCACAACAGCCCTATATTGCTATACTCCAACATTCCTATATTTCAAAAATCCTAAGTTTCAATACTGCTAAATTTCAATATTCCACAGGCCTGTATTCCTATGCTCAACATTCCAACATTCCCATAACAGCCCTGTATTCCTATACTCCAACATTCCTATACTCCAACATTCCTATATTTCAATTATCCTATATTTCAATAATCCTATATTTCAATAATTCTATATTCCAATAATCCTATATTTCAATAATCCTATATTTCAATAATCCTATATTTCAATGTTCCACAGCCCTGTATTCCTATACTCCAACATTCCTATATTTCAAGAATCCTGTATTTCAATACTCCTATATTTCAATAATCCTATATTTCAATATTGCTAAATTTCCATATTCCACAGGCCTGTATTCCTATGCTCAACATTCCCATATTTTAATAATCCTATATTTCAATACTCCTATTTCAATATTCCTCAATTTCAATATTCCACAGCCCTGTATCCCTATTCTCAACATTCCAACATTCCCATACCATAACAGCCCTATATTCCTACACCCCGATATTTCAACACCCCGACATTCCAACCCCGCTACTTAGCGCCAACAACCCCCGTACCCCCACCAACAAACAAAACCCCAAACCCACGGATTTTCCCCCAGTTCCCAGGGGGAAAAAGCCTCACCACGAACTTCTCCCCGCTCTGCTCCACGTGTTTGTAGGTGGGGATGGAGATGGGCACCGCCTGTTTCTCGCTGTAGTCGTAGAAGGGCGGCCCCAGCGGCTCCTCGGGCGGCTCCAGGCTCTCGGCCTCGTGCGGCGGCACCGACAGCACCGTCAGCACCAGCTCCTTCTCGCCGGCACGGATCAGATCCACCACCTGCTTGTGCGTGGCTCCTTCCACGTTCACCCCGTTCCTGCATGGAAAAATATCCCAAATTCCCATGGAGCACATCCACCACCTGCTTGTGCGTGGCTCCCTCCACCTTCACCCCGTTCCTGCATGGAAAAATATCCCAAATTCCCATGGAGCACATCCACCACCTGCTTGTGCGTGGCTCCTTCCATGTTCACCCCGTTCCTGCATGGAAAATTATCCCAAATTCCCATGGAGCTCATCCACCACCTGCTTGTGCGTGGCTCCTTCCACGTTCACCCCGTTCCTAAATGGAAAAATGTCCCAAATTCCCATGGAGCACATCCACCACCTGCTTGTGCGTGGCTCCCTCCCCGTTCACCCCGTTCCTAAAGGGAACAAATCCCAAATTCCCATGGAAATACCGAAGATATTCCCAAGCCACCTCCAGAACATTCCTGACATTCCCAAAAGCTCCATGGCCTGGCTCTGGCTTTGCCCAGAAAATCGGGATCACACCTTGGCCAACCTGCTCAGGAAAACTCATCCCACTCAATCCCAAAACTCCTGAAGTCCCAAGGAAGCGCTTTAGACCCAAGACATTCCCAAGCCACCTCCAGAACGTTCCTGACATTCCCAAAAGCTTCATGGCCTGGATCTGGCTTTGCCCAGAAAACATGGATCAAACCTGCCCTGGAAATCTCATCCCAAGCAATCTCAAACTTCCTGCAGACAATGGAAAATCCCACAGAAATACAGAAAATATTCCCAAGGCACCTCCAGAGAACATTCCTGACATTCCCAAGAACCTCATGGAAAGGATCTGGCTTTGCCCAGAAAATCTAGATCAGTCTCCAGCTCTCCAAGAGAAGGGAACAGCTCTGACCAGTCCCATCCATTTTTATGGAGTTTTTCCTCACAGAAAATCCTGGAAAGGTCAGATCTCCACTTACAAATCCAGGTGAGAGATCCAGGTCTCAAAAATTCCAACTTTTCCAGGAGCTGGACAAGTTTCCTCCAGCTCCAACACTACCCAAGGCTATCCAAACCCATTAGAGTTTCCGTTATCATTCCAGGGAAAAGGGATAATGGAGCAACCCTCAGATGTTTTCTCCCTGAGCCAACAGCAAATTCTGGGAAAGGGGCACGGACAGGACCCAGAATTCCCAAAAAGAATTAATTCCATTCCCAAAATGCCAGCTCCCCATCACTCCCAGAGGGTCTTCCCAAGCTCGGATGCTTCCCTGCTCGTGCCTCCAAGGAGCAGGAGGAGTCAGAATTTTGGGATGAAGTCACCATGGCAATGGAGGCTGGAATCCAGGAATGTTAAATCCAGGAGGGAAGCGCAGCAGCCACGGCTCCACAGGATCCAGGAGCCTCTTCCCAAGAAAAAGGAACACTGGGATGTTTTGCTCCTCAAGCTTCTGGCTCCACTTGGAGCTGGAAAATGGATCCAGGTGTTGCTCTGATGGTTCAAGGAATCCAGGGAATGCGAGGGGAGCAGGGAAAGGACATCAAGATCCAAGAGATGACACCAGATCCAAGGGATCCTTCCTGCTGGGAAGGTGGATCCGCAGCCACGACTCTCTTCCACGGGATGGCAAGTTGAGGAGAGCCATTCCCAGCAGCATTCCAGGAGCAAATTCCTCTGATAAATCCCTATTTTGGGAATGTGGAAGGGGTTCCACAGACACCTTCCCAGTGCTGCACCTGTTCCAGAGGTTTCTCTGGTGCAGGAATGAGTCTGGTGGGATCCAGGATCCCCCAGCCTGGCCCACTCCACCTAAATCCGGCGGTTTTCCCACTCAGCTTTAGGGATAAATCCCTTTTTCTTCCATTCTGTCCTTTCCCAAGCAGCTCCGGAGCTTCTCTTCCCAGTGGATCGGTGATAATCGGCATTCCGGGCGTTAATCAAGAGCTCAATTAGCTCCCATTGTCCATCTCCAATGCTCCTGGAGATTCTGGAGCATTCCAGAGCCTTGGGAAGAAGGCACAGGGAGGAGCTGGGTGCTGGATCTGGGAGGGAAGGATGGAAAAAGGACCTGGGATCATCCAGGCAGCACCTGGAGCATCTGTTGGTGTGGGATGAGGACCAAAAAGAGTGGATTTTTCATGGAAAACACGCTTGGATGGCTGCTCTCCGGGGTTTTCCAGGATAGGGATGAGCTGTGGAGTGCCAGAGCCACAGGTGAGCGCCCACATCCCAAATATCCCCCACAAATCCCAGCAGGAATTCCTCAGGAGAGGAACAACCTCCTCGCTCAGGCTCTTCCTCCTCAGGGAATATTCCAGGAGGTGGGAAGGAAATCCTGCATGGAATCAACACCCTGAACATCCCAAAGTCAGCCGGGCCTGGATTTTGGGGAGTTTCCTCCGGAGGAACCGGGATGAGCGGATTTCCCGCCCCGATCCCGCTGCTCCGGGAAAGGACGGGAAATCGGGGCTATTTTGGGAATCCCGGGTTATTGTTTCCTCCAGGGCTCGGGATTTTCACGGATCCGAGGAAAATGAGGGGGGTTTCACGCTGCCAGAACAGGAATTTTGGGGTGGTTTCTGCAGCAATTCCCATATTCCAGCACTGGGAATGCTGGAATATGGGAATTGGGTAATCTTGGGATATAGAAAAATAGGGATGTTGGAATGTAGGGACATTGATTTTTGGGAATATTGGTATATTGGAATATAGGGAAATGGGAATATAGCAGTGTTGGAATACTGGGATATTGCAATACTGAAATATTGGAATATCGAAGTATTGAAACATAATATTAAAATATTGAAAGGCAGGAATATTGAAAACCTGAAACACAGGAATACTGAAATACTGGAATATTGAAATATTGGAATATTGGAATACTGAAATACTGGAATATTGAAATATTGGTACACAGGAATACTGAAATATAGGAATATCAAAATATTGGAATATCAAAGTATTGGAATATCAAAGTATTGGAATATCAAAATATTGGAATATCAGAATATTGGAATGCAAGGCTATTGGAAAATTGGAATGCTGGAATATTGAAATATTGGAAAACAGGGCTGTTGGGAAATATTGGAATGCAGGAACACTGGATTATGAAAATATTGGGATACAGGAATACTGCAATATTGAAATATTGGGATACATAAATATTGGAATAGGGCAAGAGCCAACCAGGACACAGGGACAAATTAAAGCCACCTCTCCTAGGAAATAAATGGATAAACCAAGAGGAAATTCCCAATCCTTCCAAAATTCCTCTCTCTCATGCCCAACCCAGCTTTTTAAATGTTCCCCAAAACACTCAAAAATGAGGGAAAATTCCATAAATTTCATCCCAGCACCCACAAAACCCTCCCCCCTCAGCCTGGGAACGCTGCTCCCCCAGTTGGCACATCCAGGTGCAGAATTCCCCCTGCTCCCAGCGCTTTTCCCACATGGAAAAATCAAAGAATCGGGAATTTGGGTCAGCTGGGACAGAGCCAAATCCCAGCTGGGATTTCTGCGGGATTCAGGCAGGTCCTGACAGCTCCTCACAGCCCTTGGACTTCCAGAGCTGGCAGCAAAACATTCCTGCAGCTGGGAAATCCCTGGAATTAATCAGTAATTGGACTTCACCGACCCGGAGCGAAGTGCGAGGCTGGGAGGATCCGGAGAGGTCCCTGAAAACCAACCCCCACCGCTGGGATTTGAGGGATTTCAGCCCCAAAACAGCCGCAAAGTTTGAGGGTTTTTTTGGGGGAAAGGAAGAGGAGTTTCCACACAGCAGGAATATTCCCATGGGAAGGTGTTTTCTGGGACAAAGTTACAATTTTGGGGGTTAAAAAGCAGCAGCTGGAGAACACCAGAGCCAGGAGTGGGAAGGAAGTGTCTCCAGGTGGGAATCCAAGGGGTTTATCCCTAAAATTAGGGGCTCCTTTGCCCTCCCCAGGATGGTCCTCACACTGAAATCCAAGGGTTTTATCCCTAAAAATGCCCCCCTGACCTCCCCAGGAGGATCTCCTGTTGAAATCCAAGGGCTCCACCTTGAGAGGCTCCCCAAAACCCCCAGTGAAGGTTGGGGGGCTCAGTATGAGCTCAGCCCGACTCCTCAGGACCCCTCAAATTCTCCTCATGGGCCGGGGGCTCATGCCCCCACTCATGACACCCTCAGCAAAGAATCCTCAGCCCCCTCAGGACCCCCCAAATTCTTAAAAGGGGCTGGGGGGGTCTCACCCCCTGTCATGACACCCTCACCAAGGGAGCATTAGACCCCTCAGTGCCCCCCAAATTCCTAAATAGGGGTGGGGATCTCATGACACCCTCACCAATGGACCCCCAGCCCCCTCAGGGCCCCCCAAATTCCCACCAGGGCTCCTCACCAGAGGACCCTCAACAACCCCCAAACCTCAGCAAAGGCCGCTCAGCCCCCTCACGACCCCCCAAAACCTGCGTTTCTCAATCCCCCTCATGACAACAGAGCCAAAGGCCCCCCGAGCCCCCTCAGCACCCCAAGAGAGCACCAAGGGCTCGGTGTCCCCTCAGCCCGGGCCCCTCAGAGCCCCCAGCCCCCTCAGAGCCCCCAGCCCCCTCAGAACCCCCAACCCCCTCAGAGCCCCCTCATTGCCCTCAGAACCCCCTCATAGCCCTCAGAACCCCCTCAGAGCCCCCTCATCCCCCTCAGAACCTCCTCATCCCCCTCAGAGCCCCCAGCCCCCTCAGAGCCCCCTCATCCCCCTCAGAGCCCCCTCATCGCCCTCAGAGCCCCCTCAGAGCCTCCTCATCCCCCTCAGAACCCCCTCATCCCCCTTATCCCCCTCAGAGCCCCCTCAGAGCCCCCTCATCGCCCTCAGAGCCCCCTCAGAACCTCCTCATCCCCCTCAGAGCCCCTCATCCCCCTCAGAGCTCCCTCATCCCCCTCATCGCCCTCAGAGCCCCCTCATCCCCCTCTCATCCCCCTCAGAGCCTCTCAGAGCCCCTCATCCCCGTCAGAGCCCCTTCAGAGCCCCCTCATCCCCCTCAGAGCCCCCTCATCCCCCTCAGAGTCTCTCAGAGCCCCCTCATCGCCCTTATCGCCTCTAATCCCCCTCAGAGCCTCTCAGAGCCCCCTCATCCCCCTCAGAGCCCTCTCATCCCCCTCAGAGCCCCCTCATCCCCCTCAGAGCCCCCTCATCCCCCTCAGAGCCCCCTCATCGCCATCAGAGTCTCTCAGAGCCCCCTCATCCCCCTTAGAGCCCCCTCAGAGCCCTCTCATCCCCCTCAGAGCCCCTCATCCCCCTCATCGCCCTCACCCCCTCAGGACCCCCTCCCCGTGTGTGTGTGCAGGACGCGTTCCCGGGGCCGGTGCCGGGGGGCTGTGGGTGGGCGGCCCCCCCGTACTCACACCTCCAGGATGCGATCCCCCTTGCGCACCCCGGCGCGGTCGGCGGCCCCTCCGCCCAGCACGGCGCTGACGTGCTGCAGCGGCGCGTACAGCTCGCCGTTGATGCTGCGCAGCTGCCCGCCTTCGCTCACTTGCCCGCGGACGTTAAAGCCGTAACCGGACTCGGACTTGACGATGCGGACGACGCGGGGCCCGCCCGGGGGTCCCTCCCCGGCTCCGTTCCGCGCCCCCGGCCGCGCTTCGCCCTCCTCGTCCGCCATCTTGGCGTCCGCGCAGGGCGCGCGTCACGAGACCGGGCCCGCGCCGGCCGCCGTAGGGATCCACCCCTCCCGTCCGCGCCGCGGGGTGCGATGGGAAATGGAGTCCGCGGAGCGGCCGAGAGCCGTTAGCGCGCTGCGGGCCGCGGGGGGTGATGGGAAATGTAGTCAGAGAGACGGGGAGGCGGGGAGAGTGCGACGCATGCGCTGTGCGCGTGGGAACGGGGGTGTTGCCATGGGAACGGGGCTGTTGTCATGGGAAGGAGGGGCTGTTACCATGGGAACGGGGGTGACAGTTGCCATGGGTTTGGGGGGCTGTTACCGTGGGAATGGGAGGGGCTGTTGCCATGGAAACCGAGGGGCTGTTACCATGGGAATGGTGGTGGGGGGGTGTGGGCAGGGGAATGGATGTTGCCATGGTAATGAGGGGCTGTTGCCAAGGGAACAGAAGGGTGTTGTTTCCATGGTAATTAGGGCTGTTGCCATGGGAACAGAAGGGTGTTGTTTCCATGGTAATGAGGGGCTGTTGCCAAGGGAATGGGGGGTGTGGGCAGGGGAATGGGAGGGGCTGTTGCCATGGTAATGAGGGGCTGTTGCCATGGGAACAGAAAGGTGTTGTTTCCATGGTAATGTGGGGCTGTTGCCATGGGAACAGAAAGGGTGTTGTTGCCATGGTAATGAGGGGCTGTTGCCATGGGAATGGGGGGTGTGGGCAGGGGAATGGGAGGGACTGTTGCCATGGTACTGAGGGGCTGTTGCCATGGGAACAGAAGGGTGTTGTTGCCATGATAATGAGGGGCTGTTGCCATGGTACTGAGGGGCTGTTGCCATGGGAACAGAAGGGTGTTGTTGCCATGGGATTGGGGGGCTGTTGCCATGGGAACAGAAGGGTGTTGTTGCCATGGGATTGGGGGGCTGAGGGCGTGGGGACAGGGGTTTGCTGACATGAGAACGTTGCCATGGAAACAAGCCGATGTTCCTATGGAACGGGGGGTGTGTTGCCATGGAAACGGGTGGTTTTCCTGGGAACGGGAAGCGGGCGCTGTTCGGGGGTGTCCCTGGGGGTCACTGCCAGGCCTGGGCGGGCTGAGGGTCTTGGGGGTCCATGGGCATCACCACCAGGGCCAGGGGGGCGTCAGGGTCTGGGGGTTCACCATCGGGTCCCACCAGCGCACCGGGGTTCCCAGTTTGTACTGGTGTGGTTGATGAATTTCCCAGTAAAGAGCTGTTGTTTCTTTTAGTGCATTTTTTGGCATGGAAACCCCATTCATTGGCCATCAGAGCGGGGAAGGTGCAGGACCCTCCCAGGGTCCTCAGGTGGAGGAAACATGCTGGGGGAAATATTCGGGATTTATTCCTTGTCAGGGTTTTCCCTGGAAATTGTTCCTTTTGTGACCCTTTGGCTTCTGAACCTCATTGTTGTTCTGTTGGTTTTATTCTATTTCTGTTTCAGGAAATTTTTCTTCTCTTTGGGTTTTTGGGATCTTTGTGCCTCCACAGAGAGGGAGAGGGGCAGTTTTTAGTGGCAGCACACACATGTATGGGCACCCATGGGTGGGGACACCCAATTCCCCCCGCTGTCACAGCACATTCTCGTAGATGTCACCGTGTTCCTGATGTCGCCCGTGGGGTCCCCGCAGCTCTACGTAGGTCACTGGGGGGTCCTGGGGTGTGGTGGCACGGGGGGACACTGCGAGAGACACGGGCTGTGGCATCGGGGTGGGGTGACACCCGTGGGTGACGTGTCCCTGTGTGTGTCCCCCCCCGTACTCACCCCCTGTCCTCTCGGTGGTCACAATTTGGGTGTACAGCACCTCCCCCTCCTCTGGGGGGGCTGTGGGATTTGGGGGGGCCCTGAGGGGATAAAAGGGATGTGTGGGGAGGGATGGAGAGTTGTGGGGTGGGGGGAAAAGGGGAATCGTTCCTGGAGACCCCCACTCACCTTTCCTGGTGTTCCCTGGCGGCTGCGGAGGAAAGAGGGGAGGGGTCACTGTGGGGTCCCCGAGCACTGACCCCTCTCAGGATTCCTGAACCCCCACGGGACCCCCAATTCCCCTCAGGACCCCCAAACATCCCTGGAGCCCCCAGAATTCATGAACACCCCCAGTGCCCCCGAATAACTCAGCCCCAACAACCCAAAGCTGGGCAGGGACAGAGACCCCCCCAAACACCCCCAGGGGTGAAAGAACCCCCAAAATCCCTGCAGGACCCCCAGCCAATGTCACAGTTCTGGGGTTCCCTATCATTCCCAAATTCTGGAGGCCTCTACAGCTCCCTGGGACCCCCGTCCCCCCATTGTCACCCACCCCCTCGGTGCCACCGCTGCCAGGCCACAGTGACACCCACGAGCAGGACCAGGAACAAAAGGGTCCCACCGACCCCTGCGGCCACTGCAAGGAACAGAGGGGGACACATCAGGGTCACCCGTCACCCAGGGGTGCTGCACTCCCTGGTGACCCCGTGTGACCCCACCTGTGTCCCCGTGTCCCTGCGGTGTCACCTCCAGTGCCACCTCCGTGCTGAGCGCCCGGAACACGCGGTGCCCGTCCTGTCCCAGCTGGTTGGTGGCCACGCACTGGTAGGTGCCCGAATGTCCCACCTCGACGTCCCCAAGCTCCAGGAGGGGACCCTGGGCCACCTCCTGCCCGTTGTGCCACCAGGTGAAGGTGACAGGGGCTGAGCCCACCTGCACCGAGCAGCGCAGGGTGACGGGGTCACCTGCGCGCACCGGGGGTGCCAGGGGACCGGGGGTGATGGTGGCATTGGCCACGGGCACTGCGGGGACACAGACAGGGCTGGCACGGGCGGGGTGGGATGGGGGTGCCGCGGGTGGGGTCACCCCCAGCCCGGGGGTCCCGCTCACCCAGCACGGTGACATTCAGGGGGTCACTCTCGGCCACGCTGTCCCCGTCGCTGACCCGGCACCGGTACTGGCCGCTGTCGTTGTCCCCAAGGTGCCGCAGCTCCAGGCGGGGCCCGGTGCCCAGCGGTGCCCCCGAGCCCTCCCGGTGCCAGGAGAAGGACAGGGGACCTGTCCCCTCGGCCACCGCGCAGCTCAGCACCAGCCTGTCCCCAAGTGCCACCTGTGCCCCGGGGGGCTGCGCCGACAGGGACACCCCCGAGGGTGGGACCCCTGCGGGACGGGGGGACACCAGGGGACAGTGAGGGACCGGGGGGGGGTCGGGGAGGGGACCCCAGTGAGGCAGAGGGGGGGCAGAGATGGGGGGGCTTGGAAAGGACCCCGAGGTTCGGGGGGGGACACTGGGAAGGGGTGACAGAGCCCAGGGAGGGGATGGGGGGACCTGGGGACAGGGGGGGGACCCAGGGAGGGATGAGGGGGACCCGCGACAGGGATGGGGGACCCGGGAAGGGATGGGGGCATGGAAAAGGTGTCGGGGAAGGATGGGGGTCCCCAGGAAGGGCTGGGGGACCCGGGAAGGGATGGAGGGACCCGGGGTGGGATCGGAGAAGGGATGGGGGGTCCCGGGGTGGGAGCGGAGAAGGGATGGGGGGACCCGGGACACGGGTGGGGGACCCGGGGTGGGATCGGAGAAGCGATGGGGGGACCCGGGAAGGGATGGGGAGACCCGGGGTGGGATCAGAGAAGCGATGGGGGGACCCGGGAAGGGATGGGGGGACCCGGGACACGGATGGGGGACCCGGGGTGGGATCAGAGAAGGGATGGGGGGACCCGGGGTGGGATCAGAGAAGCGATGGGGGGTCCCGGGACACGGATGGGGGGACCCGGGAAGGGATGGGGGACCTGGGGTGGGATCGGAGAAGCGATGGGGGGACCCGGGACACGGATGGGGGACCCGGGGTGGGATCGGAGAAGGGATGAGGGGACCCGGGAAGGGATGGGGGACCCGGGAAATGTGTCAGGCAGGGCTGGGGGTCCCCAGGTGCTATTGGGGGTCCCCAGGTGCTATTGGGGGTCCCCAAACAGGGACCCGCGGAGGCCGTGGGGGTCCCGGTGCCCATCCCCGCACTCACTGCGCACCGTGACGCGGAGCCGGGCGCTGCTCTTCCGCACGGCCCCATCCTCGGAACGCACCTCGCAGCTGTAATTCCCCGAGTGGGAGACCCCCACGGTGGGAACCAGCAGCTGTGGGGACCCCCACGAGCCCCCCACCATCTGCCCGTCCCGGTAAAACACGTGCAGGAGCGGGGCTCGGGGCCGCAGGGGGCTGCGGGTGCTGAGGCAGCGGAGATTAAGGGGGGACCCCTCGGTGGGCTCGGGGGGACCCTCCAGCACCGGCACCGAGAAGAGCTCTGGGAAGGAGAGGGGAGGGGGTTTGTGAGCACGAGTGGGTGGGGAGGGGCTGTGGGGGTGGCGGGGTGGCGGCTGTGGGGGGCTCACCCTGCACTGTCACTGTCACCGCCTGTGACTCCTGGAATTCCTTTGACGCCCAATATTCCACCCAACCCTTGCAGCTGTAGCGGCCGCTGTGCTGCAGCCGCAGAGGTGACAGTGACAGCTCGGTGCCACCGCGGTGCCACCTCAGTTTCTCCTCCTCACGGTAGAAGGACACTGAGGTGACCGTGTTGTTCCACCAGCCCCGGCAGCGCAGTGTCACCGTGTCCCCCTCCAGCAGCGCCCGCGCCGGCACCTGCAGCACCAGCCCGGCTGGGGACAGAGGGGTCCTGTCACCCCCCATGGCACCGGGACCCCCCATCGGGTCACACCGGGGGTCCCCAACTTCAGCACGGGGTCCCCTCAGAGCAGGGGACAGGCTCTGGGCACACCATGGAGCGGAGCCCACCCAAACCCCTCCGTGTCCCCAGGGTGCCAGGCTGGGACACCCAAACCCCTCGGGGACACCCAAACCCCTCGGGGACACCCAAACCCCTCGGGGTCCCCAGGGTGCCAGGCTGGGGACACCCAAACCCCTCGGGGTCCCCAGAGTGGCAGGCTGGGGACACCCAAACCCCTCGGGGACACCCAAACCCCTCGGGGTCCCCAGGGTGCCAGGCTGGGGACACCCAAACCCCCCTCACCATCGGAGACAGTCACAGGGGAGCTGAGCTCGGTGCCGGGTCTGTCACACGTGTAGGTGCCACTCTTGGTGACAGTGATGTGGTCACGTCCCCGCTGTCCCCAGCGCTGCCCGTCCTTGTACCAGGTGGTGGCACCGGCTGTCCCCGAGCCCTGGCAGGTCAGTGTCACCCAGTCCCACCGCACCGCCGGCACCCAGGGGGGCTCCACGAGGAGCTGGGGGGTCCGGGCACCTGTGGGTGACAGGGGACAGCAGCCTGCCAGGGCCACCACGGGGCTGGGGACAGCGGGGTGGGGACATGGCACCCCCAGGACTCACCAGCGAGGCCGAGGGTCTGGGCTGGAAGGGAGAAGGGACAGGGCTGGGTGGGGGTGGCACCGTGGGGACAGTGCCACGGAGGGCACAGAGTGTGGGGGCTGTCCCCAGAGTGTCCCCGTGGGGAGAACTTTCAGTTCTTGTGGGAAAGTGCGTGGGGACAGTCCCCAGCAGGTCTGGAGAGGCTCCCAGGGGACAGCTCGGTGTCACAGCTCGGTGTCACAGCCGCCCACGCGCCACGTTCGGGTGGCACGGACACCTCCGGGACGGGGACACCCCCGCCAGCCCCATGGCCCTGTCCCTGTTGTCCCATTCCAGTGGCATCTTGTCCCCATGGCCACCTCCTCATGGTGCTTGTCCCCTTCTGTCCCTGCGCTCCTGTCCCCCTGTCCCTGTCCCCAGAGCTGCCCCAGCCCCAAGGTGCCAAACCCCACATCGCTGTCCCCAAATCCCTGTCCCCAAATCCCTGTTCCCATCACTGTCCCCATCCCTGTCCCCATTGCTGTCCCCATTGCTGTCCCCAAATCCCTGTCCCCAAATCCCTGTCCCCATCACCGTCCCCAAATCCCTGTCCCCAAATCCCTGTCCCCAAATCCCTGTCCCCATCGCTGTCCCTAAATCGCTGTCCCCAAATCCCTGTCCCCATCCCTGTCCCCAAATCCCTGTCCCCATCGCTGTCCCCAAATCCCTGTCCCCAAATCGCTGTCCACATTGCTGTCCCCATGGCTGTCCCCAAATCCCTGTCCCCATGGCTGTCCCCAAATCCCTGTCCCCATCACTGTCCCCAAATCCCTGTCCCCATCACTGTCCCCAAATCCCTGTCCCCATGGCTGTCCCCATGGCTGTCCCCAGGGCCACCCCACAACCCCGCTCACACTGGGGTGCCACCGGCTCTGTCCCCACTGTCCCTGCTGGCCTTGGGGACCTCAGGGGACCCCCCTGTGCCCCTCCCCGGGCTGCCAGGCCCGTGCCCGGGGCACTCACCCCACAGGAGCAGTGCCACCCTCCCGGCCATCCCGGTGTCCCCGGCCATGCCGAGTGGCTGTCCCCAGCCCAGGGCCACCTGTCCCCAGCGCGGTGGCCCCGGAGGCGAAGGGGAAGGAAGAGAATTTACATCCCGTCCCCACTGGGGGTGGCACGGGGTGGGGGCAGGGAGGGGACAGGCTGGGGACAGGCTGGGGACAAGGCTGGGGGGCACACGGTGGGACAGGGGGGTCCCAGGGGTGGGGGGCTCAGGGGGTTTGGGGTCCCAGGGATGGGGGTCCAGGGGAAGGGGGGGTGCCAGGGATGGGGGTCCCAGGGAAATGGGGGTTCCCAGGGATGGGGTCCTTGGGCAATGGGGGGTCCCAGGGATGGGGGTGCCATGGGGATGGGGGTCCCCTGGGCTGGGGGACTCAGGGATGGGAGTCCCAGGAGTGGGGGGCTCAAGGGATTTGGGGTCCTGAGGAGGAGGAACCCTGGGGATGGGGGTGCCATGGGAATTGGGGTCCCAGGGATGGGGGTGCCATGGGAATTGGGGTCCCAGGGGAATGGGGGGTCCCAGGGATGGGGGTGCCATTGGAATTCGGGTCCCAGGGATGGGGGTGCCATGGGAATTCGGGTCCCAGGGATGGGGGTGCCATGGGAATTGGGGGTCCTGAGGAGGGGGTGCCATGGGAATGGGGGTGCCATGGGAATGGGGGTGCCCTGGGCTGGGGGACTCAGGGATGGGAGCCCCAGGAGTGGGGGGCTCAAGGGATTTGGGGTCCTGAGGAGGAGGAACCCTGGGGATGGGGGTGCCATGGGAATGGGGGGTCCCAGGGATGGGGTCCTTGGGCAATGGGGGGTCCCAGGGATGGGGCTCCAGGGGAATGGGGGGTCCCAGGGATGGGGTCCTTGGGCAATGGGGGGTCCCAGGGATGAGTGTCCAGGGAAATGGGGGTCCCAGGGTTGGGGGTGCCATGGGAATGGGGGTCCCCTGGGCTGGGAAGACTCAGGGATGGGGGTCCCAGGGGAACGTGGGCTCAGGGATTTGGGGTCACGGGATGGGGGCCCAGGGGAATGGGGGTCCCAGGGGAATGGGGGGTCCCAGGGATGGGGGTCCCAGGGGAATGGGGGATCCCGTGGGAATGGGGGGTCCCTGGAGACTCAAGGTGTGGGGAAAGGGGATTTCAGGGGATGGAATGAACAGCAGAGGGTTCCCTGGGAATGGGGTCCTGGGCCATGCAGACCCTGTGGAATGTGGGTGCTGGGATTTGGGGTCCCTGGCAAGGTGGGACATGAGGAATGGGGGTCCCATGGTTTGATTTCCCGAGGGTTGGAAGTCCCAGGGCTGGGCAGTGGCTGGGTGGGCACGGGGGTCTCAGCTCCTTCTCTGAGTATCTCAGATTTTGGGGTGACCCCGAGCCCAGCACCCCTGAGGTGCCGGTGATTTTGGGGGGGTGACCCCAGCTGGATTCCGGGGGGCTCTGCCTCTGTGTCCCCCCCCCCCCCCAAAAAGGGACTTTTTTTTCTTCTCTTAATTTCCATTTCCTTCCTTTTTTTCGGCCGCTCTCGCACCCCCTCAGTTCCGGGGGAAGTCCCGAGGGGGAACGGCCCGGGGGGACCCCGGGAGGGGGAAATGGGGTGAGGGGGGGGCTGGGGGGGCTGGGGGGGATGGGGGGATGGGGGGGTTAGGGGGGATGGGGGGACCCGGATGGGCCCCCCAAAACTTTCACTTTCTCTCTCCGGCAGTGGAAGGAAGAGGCGGATTGTGGTGGGGGTCACAGGGTGGGGAGGGGGTCCTGGCCTGGGGGGGCACATGGGGGGTCCTGGGGGGCACATGGGGGGGTTCTGTCCTTGTTTTGGGGGGCACATGGGGGGTCCTGGGGGGCACATTGGGGGGTCCTGTCCTTGTCCTGGGGGCACATGGGGGGTCCTGTCCCTGTTTTGGGGGGGCACATCGGGGTTCTGTCCCGGGGGGCACATGGGGGGTTCTGTCCCTGTCCTGGGGGGCATATCGGGGGTCCTGTCCTTGTTCTGGGGGGCACATCCCGGGGGAACGGGCAGGAATGGGCATGGGGGGTTTTGGGCACCGGGGGGGCACCGGGGGCACCGGGGGTACCGGGCAGGTTTTGGGCACCGGGGGCACCGGGAACACCGGGCAGGTTTGGGAACCGGGGGTTTTGGGCACCGGGAACACCGGGAACATCGGGCAGGAATGGGCACCGGGAGCACCGGGAACACCAGGCAGGATTTGGGCACCGGGAACACCGGGAACACCGGGCAGGGTTTGTGCACCGGGGATTTTGGGCACCGGGAACACCGGGAACACCGGGCAGGGTTTGGGCACCGGGAACACCGGACAGGATTTGGGCACCGGGAGTTTTGGGCACCGGGCAGGATTTGGGCACCGGGGGCATCGGGAACACCGGGCAGGGTTTGGGCACCGGGAATTTTGGGCACCGGAGGCACCGGGCAGGGTTTGGGCACCGGGAATACCGGGCAGGGTTTGGGCACCGGGGATTTTGGGCACCGGGCAGGGTTTGGGCACCGGGAATTTTGGGCACTGGGGGCACCGGGAACACCGGGCAGGGTTGGGCACCGGGCAGGGTTGGGCACCGGGGGTTTTGGGCACCGGGGGTTTTGGGCTTTCCCCCGTTGCCGCCGCTCAGCCCAGCCGGTTTTTAGGGCCCAGCCCCGTTTTCCCCGGCCCCAAATTCGGGATTTGGGGTTCGCCGGGCGGGGCCGCGATGGGATCGGCGCCACTCCCGGGAAATTTCGGGAGCGCTGCCAGCGCCCCGAGCGGCTCCGGGATCTCTGATCTGGGAGGCAGCCGCAGGAAAAGCTCCTAATTGGATTCCGGGATTAATTAACTAATTAATCCCGGCAGTTCCGGCTCTCTCACCTCCGGGGGGTGCCAAAGCTGAATCCAGCAGTCCGAATTTTAGGGAGCTAAAATCCAAATTTTGGGATGCTAAAATACAAATTTTGGGATGCTAAAATCCAAATTTTAGCAGGATTTTGGGCCGGGGAAAGGAGCAGTGCCGGAGGTGGGGTCAGAGCCGGGGGTTAAAGCGGGAAGCGGAAATCCCGGGAATTAGAAATCCCGGGAAAATAGAAATCCTGGGAAAATAGAAATCAGAAATCCCGGGAAAATAGAAATCCAGGGAAAATAGAAATCAGAAATCCCGGGAAAATATAAATCCCGGGAATTAGAAATCCCGGGAAAATAGAAATCCAGGGAAAATAGAAATCAGAAATTCCGGGAAAATAGAAATCCAGGGAAAATAGAAATCAGAAATCCAGGGAAAATAGAAATCCCGGGAATCAGAATTCCCAGAAAACAGAATTTCCTGGAAACAGAAATCACGGGAAACAGAATTCCAGGGAAACTGAATTCCCGGGAAACAGAATTTGCAGGGAAACAGAATTTCCGGGAAAACAGAATTTCCAGGAAAACAGGATTCCAGGGAAACAGAATTCCCGGGAAAAGAGAAATCCTTGGAAACAGAATTCCAGGGAAACAGAAATCCCAGAAAATAGAATTCCAGGGAAACAGAATTCCCAGGAAAACAGGATTCCAGGGAAACAGGAGCACCGGGAGCTGCCGCTGGATGGCGCCACTGGCCCCAAGTCCTGGTGGCCACCAGGAGGGGACAGGGACAGGTCCTGGTGGCCACAGGGAGGGGACAGGGGACAGGTCCTGGTGGCCTCAGGAAGGGGACAGGGACAGGTCCTGGTGGTCACCAGGAGGGGACACTTTGGGGGATTTATATGGAGGTTTGGGGGTGGATTTTTATGGGATTTTTGGGGTGGCTTTGGGGGGATTTTTTTTGGAATTTTGGGGGGATTTTTGGGGGGATTTTTTGGGAATTTTGGGGGGATTTTTGGGGGTCTCACCCCGTCCTTTCCCACAGCCCTCTGTCCCCCCAGCCCCATCGTTTGGGACAAATCCCAAAACCACCGGAGGGGATTTGGGGACCCAGGGGGGGATTTGGGGACCAGGAGGGGATTTGGGGACACGGGGTGGGGGGGTTTTGGGGACCCGGACGGAATTTAGGGACCAGGAGGGGATTTGGGGACCCGGGGGGGGAATATTTGGGGACATGGGGGGGATTTGGGGACACGGGGGAGATTTGGGGACCAGGAGGGGATTTGGGGACCCGGAGGGGATTTGGGGACCCGGAGGGGGATTTGGGGACCCAGACGGAATTTAGGGACCAGGAGGGGATTTGGAGACATGGGGGGGATTTGGGTACCCGGGGGGGGGGATTTGGAGACCCGGGGGAGGATTTGGGGACCAGGAGGAGATTTGGGGACCCAGGGGGGGATTTGGGGTCCAGGAGGGGATTTGGGGACCAGGAGGGGATTTGGGGGACCAGGAGGGGATTTGGGGGACCAGGAGGGGATTTGGGGACCAGGAGGGGATTTGGGGACCAGGAGGGAATTTGGGGACCAGGGGGGGATTTGGGGACCCGCGGGTGTCACCACGCTGTCCCAAAACCTCGAGGACCAGGGACGGACAGTGTTGCAGAACACCTGGAACTGAAGAACCCCCAAAAACCCCAAAAAAACACCTCAAAACCTCATTTTCCAAAAAAAAAAACCTAATTTTGGTCCGAACTAGGGGGGTTTACCCCCAAAACATGCCCTGTGCCACCCCAAAATCCCCAAAATCCCCATGAGAGGCAGCGGAGCCGCGCGTTCCTACCCAGGGATGAACTTTAGGAACCCCGGCCCTAATTAAAACCCCCTCATTAAGGGCCTCATTAACCCGAGCTGCTCCAATTTAGCCTCGTTTTGACCTCCCCAAAATTTTCCCTCGGAGTCTCTCGGGCTTCGTTTCCTGTTTGGCCCCGATGAGTCAAAGTTTGGGGTTTTGGGCAGAGGGAAAGGCCGGGCGGGATTTTGGGGTTGGCGCAGATTTTAGGGCAGGTTCAGGCTTTGGGGTGATTCAGGTTTGGGGTGGGGATGAGTCAGGCTTGGTCACCGGCTTGGATTTTAGGGCTGGTTCGGCTTTTGGGGTTGATTCAGGTTTTGGGGCTTGTTCCAGTTTTGGGGCCGGTTCAGGTTTTGGGGTCGGTTCAGTTTTTGGGGTTGGGTTTTTGGGGCTGATTCAGGTTTTGGGGCCTGTTCCAATTTTGGGG